TAAAAACCAGTCAACGCTATGCATGGCCTAAAAGAAACATACAATAAAATGACTTTCTATGAAGTTAAAGTCGATAAGATCCATAAACAAAGAAACGTGATAAAATATTTAAACCAGTCAACGCTATGCATGGCCTAAGAAACATACAATAAAATGACTTTCTATGAAGCTAAAGTCGATAAGAACCATAAACAATGAAACATGATAAAATATAAAAACCAGTCAACGCAATGCCTGGCTCAAGAAACATACAACAAAAATGACTTTCTATGAAGTTAATGTCAATAAGAACCATAAACAGTGAAAAAAATGATAAAATATATGAATAAAACAATCAACGCAATGCAAGGCCTTTAACAACAATATATCATTTAACAAAACAAAGTTATATTCCTGGAATACTATCAAACTTTTTTTATTTTTACTCAAGAAATTGAGAGCTGTCGTGAAAATCATTTTTTGTCTAGCCTGCGACGAAAATCGCAGTAAGCGTGACATAGGGGTTACTATCCAACGGCGGCGGCGGTGTAAACTATTTGTATAAAGCATGCTTCATACCTTGTATGCAGATACTTTATGTTACGAAGTATCTATCTGGCATATGTCCATTGTCGTTGACTTAATTTTCATGGTTCAGCGACTGCTTGAAAAACATTTTGTTTTGTCATGTGATTTTATCACTTATGAGTATGATAACTATATTTAGTATATGGGTTCCTTGCAACGTATACATGTCCGCCAGACGGGGTACACTTGACCTCGAACTCATTTCACGAATCAGTGATCAAGGTTAAAGTTACATGAATAGGTAATAATAATAATAAATTCTTTATTTAAAGAGGGTAACCCAATTAGAAGTAGTCTAATTTTCATTGAGGCCCTCAAACAAAATATACATGTATACAGTTAACATTCATACATTCATACATTAAAATACAATATATATTACTAGTATATACACAATTCAATCATTCAAACATACAAATGACAGTAAATGGCAATAATTGGTAAAGTTTTGATTAAATTTTCGTATTCTTACAACAAAAGAAAGAAAACAAATTATTCGACTTGCATAGAATTTTCAAGAAAATGATTATAACAATGTTTCTTAAATAATTCCACATTTCGACAATTTTTTATTTTGAGTGGTAAATAATTCCATACCTTTGCTGCAGAGTAATGAAAAGATTTTTTATAAAAATTTGTATTTGGTCTTGGAACAAATAGATCATTATTAGAGACAGATCGTAAGTTGTGGTGTTGCACATCATTAATATTTAGCATTGCTAAGTAATCAGTTGTTAGTCCATTTACAATTTTATACATTAGAATTGATTGTTGGTATTTTATTCTTTTTGTAAAAGATAGCCATTTTAGAGATGAAAACATCAAATTAGATGGAACAGAAATATCGCATTCAAGTATAATTCTTGCTACTCTTTTTTGAAGTTTTATGATTCTATCTGAATCTTTTTGTAATAAATTTCCCCAAACTGAACTACAATAGTCTATATATGGTAGAATATATGCATTATAAAATAGTTGTCTTGTGTGTATAGGCAAATATACTTTAATTTTAAACAAAAGTGATATTTTAGATGAGATAATCTTGCATATACGATCAACATGATCTTCCCAGCTTTAAATTTTCATCAATGTCAATTCCAAGTAATTTGAAAGAATGGACATTTTCAATACATGTTTCATATTTCTGATAGTTGTGTAAGTTTTTGTTTTGAACTCAATTTCATACACTTTGCTTTTGTGCATTAATGTTCATACTGTTATTGTTACACCAAGATTGTATAGCATTTAAATCATTTTGCAATATGCTGTTTATTTTTTCAATGTTTTTATTATGAAAATGCAATGTTGAATCATCAGCATATAAATCCATGTCGGATTGTTTAACATGAAGTGGTAAATCATTTATATAAATTAAAAATAACAGAGGACCTAAAGTAGAACCTTGAGGCACTCCATATTTTAAAAACGATTTATCAGATTTAATGTTAGCGTATTGAACTTCTTGTTGTCTCTCAGACAAATATGATTTTATCCAATCTATCGTATGTTCTCCGATATGATAAAATTTTAACTTTTCTAAAAGTATGGCATGGTTAATAAGGTCAAAAGCCTTACTGAAATCTAAAAACACAGTACCAACTATTTCACCATTGTCTAAATATTTTAACCGTTCATCAATTAGTTTAGTCAGCGTTGTTTGACATGAATGACCTTGCCTGAATTCTGACTGAGCGATATGTAACAATTTTTTATTATTTAAGAATGCATATAACTGTGTACATACATGTCTCTCAAAATTTTTAGATATGGTATTTAAAATAGAAATTGGACGATAATTGGAGGGAATATCTGTTGGTCCTCCTTTATGTATAGCAGTTACTCTTGCAAGTTTTAATTTTTGCGGAAAACGATTCGACGTTATACTTTTGTTTATTAGAAAAGTTAGTGATGGCGATATTATCTCTGCATTTAGCTTCAAAAATTTGGGACCAATTTCATCTAAATCTGCGGATTTATTAATATTAAGGTGTATAAGTTGTGAACACACCTCTCCAACAGAAATGAGTTTTAATTTAAAATTTTCAGTTTCCTTTAATTTTTTACTAGTAAAAGTTTGTAGCTTAGAAAAATCCGTATCTGAAGTATTATTTCCAATAAGTTTTCAGCTTCGGAAGAAAAATGAACATTTAGTGTATTAATAATATCTTAGGGGTAATAAACAGTTTGATTTTCATACTGCATTTTAGGTGGAAAAATATTATCCATTTTTGGATTTAACTCTTTAATGTGATTCCAAAGTTCTTTACTATTTTTGGAACTAGATATAGCGTTTTGATAATAATCCTTTTTTGCACTAAATATTAACGACGTTGTTTTATTACGCCACTTTTTAAAGTTTACCCAATCTTTTTTTGAGTGATACATATTTCTGTATTGAATGGAATTTTTAATTTCTTCATTGAACCATTCGGCTTGTTTAAATGTTTTTACTCTTTTAGTTTTCATTGGTGCGTGCTTGTTAATAACTTGATTAAAAAGTTCATACCATTTGTCGACAGAAATATCAATATCTTCTTCTATTTCAACAATATGAAAAGGGGTTTGATGTAAGTCTGCACAAAAGGCATCTTCATTAAAGTTTTTGAAACACCTATACTTTATTTCGATATGATTTTCTTTCTTTACCTATATATTGATTTTTCTATTTAAGCATACAGGGTACTGGGTAGTGGTCACTTAAAGCATATGAAGGAACATGACAATGAGCAATATTTTCAGGATTAGTAGTGTAAATATGATCAATAAGAGTTTCTGATTTGCCACAAATACGTGTTGCAGTGCACATTTGTTGTTGAAGATTAAAATGGTTTATGAAATTCATCCATTTTTTATTTTCAATTTTTATCAAGTCAATATTAGTCCCCCATTAAAATGGTCTCTTTGTTTTCTGACAGAGCTGCATTAAATCCTCCCTCGAAAAGATCTATCCAGGACTGAGGGGAATTTGGTGGTCTATAAACAGTACAAATGAAGAAAGGTTTAGATTTTGGAAATTCTACCTCTAACCATAAAGTTTCTAATGTGTTTATTGATAAATCAGATCTATTTTTAACTGCAGTAGAATCTTTGACATAAACCAATAGACTACCACCATCCTTACTCTGGCGATCTTTTATGAAAATTTTGTATCCTGGCACTTTAAACTGTTCATTGTTAATATCAGGTTTTAAGAATGTTTCAACTAATCCAAATAAATCTAAATATCTGTTGTTTATAGTAATTATATTCTTTAACTCGTCAAATTTAGATAAAATATGTCTAACATTAAGGCATACAGCATTGAAACAGTAGTTTCGTTTCTTGGATGATAAAAGCATTAGGTCAACTATATGTTGTGCATAGGATGATTGAAAGGGGAACATGTCAGTCTGGCAGGTATCATCTGACCTTGACCTCTTGTACATGGTTCATTGGTCAAAGTTAAGTTTTTATCCGACCGCAAACATTTTTTTCCGTCGTATAATGCTATGAACATTTGGTTCCCGGACAATAACTTTAGTTTTAGTAAATGGATCTCTATGGATTTTTACCAGCAGGTTCAATACCACAAAAGGAAGATTGGAATTGATTTTGGGGGTGATGGTACCAACAGTTTAGGAATTAGGGGCCAAAAAGGGGCCAAAAACAAGCACTTCTGTAGTTTCCGGACAATAATTTGTGTGTAAGTGTATGGATCTTTCTGAAATTGTACCACAAGGTTCCATATCACAAAAGGATGGCTGGGATTGAGTTTGGGGTTAATTGCCCCAAATGTTCAGGAATTAGGGACAAAAAAGGGGCCAAAAACAAACATTTTTTTAGTTTCCAGCGATAACTTGTGTTTGAGTGTATGGATCTTTCTAAAATTGTACTGCAAGGTTCCATACCATAAAGAGAAGGCTGGGATTGAGTTTGGGGGTAATTACTCCAAAAGGGGGGGGGGTTCAAAAAGTTGGGGGGATTTTTTTTAGGGGGGGGGTAATTTTTTTTCTTCAAAATTTTTGAAATTTCAAATTTTTGAAATCTTCAATTGCACATTATTGCGCAATAGCAAGAAATCTTCAGTTGCACAGTATTGCACCAAAGCACAGTATTGTACAATAGCACAGTATTGGGCAAAAGCAAGAAATCTTCAGTTGCACAGTATTGCGCAATAGCACAGTATTGCACAATAGCACATTATTGCGCAATACCAGGAAATCTTCATTTGCACAGTATTGCGCACATGCACAGTATTGCGCAAATGCACAGTATTGTGCAATATCACAATAATGCGCAATAGCAAGAAATCTTCAATTGCACAGTATTGCGAAACAACACAGTATTGTGCAAATAGCAAGAAATCTTCAATTGCACAGTATTGGGCAATAGCACAGTATTGCACAATAGCATGAAATCTTCAATTGCACAGTATTGCGCAATAGCAAGAAATCTCCAATTGATAACAAATACAAATGTTTTAACAAATTTCGATGGGATTAATTAAGTCTTTAATTGTTAGGGGTTCTAACCTTGTATAATTTTTTTTTTTGGATATTGGGCCGCATTTTTAAATTGGTCTACATTGAGGTCAAAAGGGTCCAAAATTAAACTTTGTTTGATTTCATCAAAAACTGAATTATTGCGGCTGTATGATTTGCTGAATCTTATTGTGCATTTAGATTTTTATTTTGGGCCCTGTTTTCAAATTAGTTCATATTAAGTAATCGGGGTCCAAAATTAAACTTTGTTTGATTTCAACTAAAATTAAATTATTGTTTTTTTTGTATGCTGAATCTAACCATGTTGTTAGATTTTGGATATCTGACCATTCTAGGTAAATTAAATGTCCCATTTCAAATTTTCAAGATCTTTGACCACATTTATTTTGTGTCAGAAACCTATATTATGTCAAAAATTTGATAACAATCCAAATTCAGATTGTATAAAGCTTGAATATTGTGTCCAAACTTGCCCCGACTGTTCAGGGTACGATCTCTGCGGTCGTATCAGGCTGCGCTAAGCGAAGCATTTTATTGTATTTTGGTGTTTTTCAAATATCGATAGCAATCGGTCAGTTATATTTGGTGTATGACAAGATTAATCTGACCTTGACCTCATTGTCATGGATCTTTAAAAATGTTATGTTTATGTGATACTTGTAGTAAAACCTTTATCGCTAAGACTTTCAACATAAAATCAATGGTCAGCAAAGCAGGCGAGACATTTCAGCGTGTGCACTCTTTTTAGATTAATGAAAAGTAACGATTTATATCAGAAGTTTTTACCTTGAAAAAAGATTAAATGCAATGAAAAAAATGAAACCTTAACGATAACACACATTGCACACATATAAATGTGCCTTTCCGCTACCTCTCCATTGTCAATAAATATTTATGTCCTTTCCAAGGGTAACAAGTCGTAAAAAGTGATTTCTAATTACAGAGTAAATCACGGAATTAGTAAATTAACTATTATTATAAAATCATGAAATATTTTACAATATCAAAGCATGCGTCCAAAATAGAGCATTTTAAAACTGAACCCTTGAACTTGACGCTCACGGTGTTTATGTCTACGTTGTCACCCATTTTCTCATCTTGATATGCATATAATATTTGCCACTGGACATTAAACACCGATTAATATCAAAATATAACCGATCTTTTAATAATTATAACAAATATTTTGACATGAGAAAAACATTGTATTGTTTTCACAAACGGTTCGTCATTATTTAAGTAGGTAAAATAGAACTGACAGGAAATTATTTAGTATTTAGATTTAAGTGGGCGAAGAAATTAATTGGTATATCATTCAATATAAATTTACCATTAAACTATTTGCTTTCGTTTTTTTTTTTTTATTAATTTTGAATTTTCTTAGAAACTCAGAAGGGCACTTGTAAAATCACAACACATGTGCATTTGGAAATTCATACACATTTCCACACACAAAATCAAATCAGGAAAACAAATAAAAAGTAGATTCAAACAGTTATAACGTTCAACGATTTCTCTCTCTCTCTTCAATTTCATCTTTAGTTATTGTTCATATAATGTCCTTTGATTCGTCTTCACTTCCTGCTCTAAGCATAGTAATGTCCGTACCAGACGGTATGTCACTGGACATGGATCTGACAACCTCTTTCGGCTTTTTTGGTTTTGGTTTTGGCTTCTGTCCTTCCATTCCTTCTAAAGAAATTGAAAAAAAAATGTTACTGTTGTAATTATTCTAACTCCCCATTATCCATAAATCATCCAAAATTGTAAAATGGATCTTGCGTTGCCGTCTCATTGACGTTTACCCCACTCTCCGATTTATTCATATCCTAGATATGCAAATGGCCTTAATTCTAGTAATGTGTTTGCCGTTTATATTTTGTAGCAATGTGTTCTATCTTTCTGTTATATACCTCCATTCTTCAAAAGGAGGGTCTATATTGCAGTCACCCTGTCCTTCTGTTCGTCTAACAAATGTTTTCGTCACATATTTCTCAAACACTAGTTCTAACAAGAATGAATTCATATTTGATAAGCAGCTCAACATTGATAAGTTGTAACGTGCGTGTGATTTGTCAGACACCTACTTCCTGTTTTCCGATACTTCGAAGAACGAGTATGGTATGCTTAGCACGACAAGGCGTGCATTCTTGTCTTTCCTCAATTAAGGGTTATCAATAAATGGCTGGACATGTTACAAGATTTTTTCATATGATTCCCAAGAGGAGATTTTTCAAATGGAACTGAATATTCTCTTTAAAAAGAATTCCAAATAAAACAAATGTGCTTGGTTATAGACAGACTAATTGTGAAAGTGTGTTGTCAGTGATTTATATTGATTGACCAAGGACTTATAATCGATTTTATTAGTGTATATCAATAGTTGTAGAAATTAGGGAAAATAATTATACTTAGGATATATGTGTAACTTTACGTAAAGTAAAAAATTAACATAGGATTAACCGTTTATTTCTAACTGACAAAAAGGAAAAGACGAAGGAATTATGCATTTCCTAGATTGAATACATACGAAACGTTTCCTGACCGTCTGGAACTCCTCTTATATCATCATCAGAGGTAGAATAGTCCTCTTCTCTCTGTTTTTTGTAAATTTTTCTGTTATTGAACTGAGATGAAGAACAACCCATCTTATTCTTTATGACAACACGCTACAATATTATAAAATGGTAGATGTGTAAACTGTGTGCATGTTATTGAATTGGTATGTACTTTACAAATTACAACTCAACTAAGTTTTATCAGTATTAGTACTAATCAGCATTTTAACCAACAGATATAACACCAAAAATGTGTTAAAAATAACGGATATTTACAGGAAATACAGTGCCATTAGTGAAGCTTTCCGGAACACCTAAGTCCCCAAACCGTTTTTGGTGAGGTTCGTTTTGATCAATCATTACTGACATTAGTTTTCTGTGAAGTGTTTTGTAGACTTTTATTTGTCTGTTACCCTTTCTTCTTTAAACCATTGTGTTGTTTTTTTATTGACCGCTTGGTATCTTTGGTATCCCCGTTTGACACTATTCATAACAGCTTTTTGTTAGGCGCCTTTTATCTTCACTATTTTCCCATTTTGCCATTTACCTTAGTTACGGATGTCCATCAATGCAATGTGTTTCAAAAACATCTAACACGTGAGTATTTTCAAAAGCAATGTATATAATTTGCAACTGAATAACATTGATAAGTGAATAATATTTATAACTTTTGATTTAATGGATTTCATCAATTGGTTGGAAAATCTTACAAGTAACTTGTCTAGCCTCTAATTTCATGAGGTTTTCTAAGTTTATCCTTTGAGTGAAACAACTGCAGGGAAATTCTCCTCTATGTAAAGCAATTGTGCACATCCACTTTATCATTTTCTTTTGAATATTTTTAGTTTTCCATTTATTTCACCAAATCTATGCCAACCGGATAACGATTTCTGCTCAAAATATATTTTCTAGTTTTTGCAAGGGCGTTAACGTGAAATTGAATATGGTGTGAAGGATTCATCTGCAAAAACTACGAAAGAGGCAAACAACGCTGCGTTTGAAAATACCCTTGAAATTCGGTTAAATATCAGCACATCAAAATGTATTCCTGACTAGTTTTCTGTTGTCCGTTATTGATTGATAGATGTTCTGTCGGACCACTGAAATCAAGCTTAATTTAGTTAAAGACATAAGAAAGTCAATCGATCATACTAGTTGAACGAGTGGGCAATACTACAATGCTCTTTTTAAACCTGGTGTATCATACCAGTTATTAAATCTAATGGGGAAATTGTATCGGGGAAAATACCCCCCTAAAACTAGGAAAAAAGAAGGAATTGGTTGTTAGACTACATAACCTATGAAAAAAATACTAGAGTGAACAAAAATAAATAAGGAAATATTTGAAACTCACCGTATTTTATGTTATTTTTCCTGACGTTTTTTTCATAAAACATAATTGAATTTCTTGTATGTGTCTCGTTAAACATTATAACATTTCAGAGATAAATATTTGCTATGTCAAGTCCAAGTGAATATAGTGTTGTTTCTTCTATACAACTCCCGTTATTTGGAATTAAACCGTTCCTATGACAACATCATCATTAATTTTGTAAATTCCAATTGCAATAGCATATCGTTATTATTAGTCAAAAATGGTCTTTTAGAGTGCGAGTATTGTTGTAAAACTGTAAATGTCCATAACATCACGATTTAACCTCTAATTGACAAAGGATACGAAATCTGTCTATTTTTATATGACTTATGATCGCTAATTACAGGTAATATTGAAATCCGTCCATTTTCCTCGTGTTAGTTCACAAAATCAATAGATCTATCTTTCTAATTTGTTCGGAAACATTCTGTCACAAATCTCATCATTCACTTTTGTCATTGTGAAACAGTGCCGTAGAGATTTACACGGATGAAATCATGATATGGAATATTGGATAGGAATAATCATTTATTAAAAGGATTAAGTGATTATGAAGTAGAATAATGATATACGATTACTATGATGATATTGTCTGCCTCTAATTGAGTTGGTTTGTTTCTATGTTGAACTGACCCTTCTTATGTTAGTATTTTGTTCAATTATTAAAAAAAAAGGAAAAAATATAAACAGAACTCTTCAAATTTTGATTTATAATTATCTTTGTATATTGCAAATAGAGTATTCAATGTTAAATAAATATAAAGTAATGCAGTCAATAGAAAATTATCATATTTAGGAATGCAAAATGGTTTGTCCAACGTCTCTGAATTTACTTCACATATAGAGTCAATACTAGCTGTGGAACCGTAGCTCGTAGATCCACAAATTGTCAAAAAATATCACAAGGACCTATGAGCTACGGGTCCGCAGCTAAGCCAAAACTAGATACTTGATGAATGAAGACTCTTATAGATATTATACTTAATGATGGTATTTCTACCTTTTTTTTTAAAACAAATTTCCATATAATCAAATTGTTATCCAGCAATATTCGTAGCGCATGCTGTTGAATATGATTTTGATCAAACATTACAAATTTTACATCTTATGGCAAAATTTTGCATTGGAAAACACCCGGAATGAAAATGAATTAATATAAAACTAAGAAGATGTGGTATGATTGTTATTGAGACATCTATCCATGAGAGACCAAATGACGTAGATATAAGCAATCATAGGTCACCGTACGGCCTTCAAGAATTATTAAACTCAGCTATGAATGGCAAAAACGTGAAACAATTCAAACGAAAAAACCAGCGGAATGATTTGTGACAAAACAATAAACGAAAACACGTGACAGACAGCAATCAACGACAAGCACATGACAGACAGCAATCAACGACAAGCACTGGATAATAAGCTCTCCTGACTTTGAATAGGCACATACAGAATGTGGCGAGTCTAAACAGTTTAGTGAGCTCTCAGCCCTTCTATAACATTGGGTAGTTGTACGTGTAACAGCACGGAATATGAACAAACAGTAAAAATCATTTTGAAATGGTTTGACTTGTCAAATCGGGACGAATCACAAACAACAATTAAAATAAAGAAAAAAGATATGAAGTACAGACCTAAGAGTACTCGCAATTACTAAAAGGTAGTTTAAAGCAAATTGCAACTAATAAATATATCATGTTCTCTCAGACTTAGGTATCAATCGGTACACATTCAACGGATTCGTGTAAAGACGTCATAAACAGACTGAAAATCCTTCAATGTATATTTTAAACACACAAAAAAAATCCACTTTTGATAGAGTTTCGGTTTGGTATGAAATTTCCTTCCTTTTCGTTTTTTTGTTGTTGATAATTTCATTATATCTAACTATATCTTTTGTATGCTTATATTTTGATTATTTCACAAATATGATAGACCATGGATTTAAGTACAGTATCAAATATTTTTTTTAAATAACCTGTCTGAGAAGTAAATGCAGGGTAACATTGTCATAACTCCTTTTTGTGCGTGTCTTTATAGCAAACGGTAGTATTTATAGTTATTTGAAAGTAATAACATTAAATGTGCCAATTTTACTGCACCAGGTGCGAATTTTTGGACAATTAATGTCCATTCAATGATGCTCGATGTCCAAAATATTTAAAAATCCAAAACCTAAAACAAACGCTGAAGAGCTCTTAATTAAGTATAGCCAAATCGGGACAATGAACCAAAGCTTTGCATGAGGGAGATATATTCCTTAATTTACTAAATTGTTTTCCAAAGTGCAGTACATAGACAGATATCATGTATTTCAAGAACATTTAAACAGTCATAAGAGTGGAAAACAAACAAGGGTAAACATAAATCTAAAATTTTGAGTGTATATTTTCTCAGTTGATAAAGAAATAATCGTCGGGACGTTTTACAGAAAATTGACCTTCAGTGTCAGTGCATAATAAGTATGCATGTCTGATAAAATTATAACGACTAAATGGGTTAAAAACCTTAATTGATATCTCTGAAAATCACCCAAACTAGTAATATTTTTTTCAAATGAGTACACATACTCAAGTGCAGATTTTCAATGTATGTATAAACATTCTAAACCGTTTAAAATGCTCTGACAAAAAACTGCGGGAAGAGTTGAGTACTCAAAATTGACACCCTCATCGAGAATGCTGCCAAAAATTGACCAAATAATATGATCTGGGTCCATACGCATTACCTTCTTTGGCACAATGTATTTCATACAACACAATGTAACATGTACAATTTTGAATTCACCACATGTGTCAACAATAATATGTATTAAATAATTGGGTGCTCAAATAGTCAGCACAGGCATTTGCGGAACTTTCAATCGCTTCAGCCTAAAAGTAGTTGGTAAAAAGTAACATTTATTTGACCATCTATTCATGATTCTATTCCTTTCTTTCTTTGAATATACACGTGTATGAAAGAGGTTTCTGGTCGGTGTGCAAAATAACTTCTTTGCTATACAAATGTTTCTGCAGTTTTTCATTGCAAAATCTAACACCACATTCCTGTTCACTGACATAAGTGTTTCTTCCCGTTGATGTCTTGCTCACTGAGGGAAAGGATTTTTTCCCCTTCAAAATGTTTTATTTATAAACAACCTTTTCCTGTATTATACGTGTTAGACTAGAATATGGACGAGAAGGGAAGAACAGGTGAAGAGTTGTTAAGTGGCATTCAAAAAGCAGAAGACGAAGAATATTAGCAACACGTAATATAGGTGCAGCACACTGAGCGCGGAAAACGTTTTCTACTGATCAAGTCCCTAACCAACGTTGCTCGGAAACCTTTCTTCGTGAAGTCTATTTTAAAATGCATTGGTACGTCCGCAATATTGACGGAGAACCTCAAATAGCATCCAAGCAATCCCAAGAAATGACAGCACTTGCATCTTGGTTCTAGGTTGTTGAGCATTTTCGATCTCATCTAGTTTTTCTTTATTCGTTACCAAAGGTCATTTTTTACAAACTAGTATCAGTCATCAAAGTTAAGAACGCTGTCAAGTGTCGAGATTTTTGTTTAACTTGAAATTGCTAAACACCTTAAGCAAAAAGATCAATTTCGGTAAAAGTAGAGAGTTGCGTATTGCTTTTGCCAGGCTATTTTCTGAATCACCCATCTATTCATTCTCTAATTGGGAAACATAATTCAATTTTCTGAACTCTATACACAACTTGTCAAATGCGCTAAACATTCATCTCTCTTTTTAATCTGCATCGTGTATTATAGCAATTTCGCCATTTCTTCATTTGAACTACCCGTATTTCTCCCCCCCCCCCCCCCCAGCAAGTTCAGAGGGTATTTTGTTTTTATTGGTATTTAGTTTATACTCCAGTCAATCTTTAAAAAGTAAACAGTAGATAAAAGGGGACAAACATACACAACTTAAGACTGAGCAACACGAGCCCCACCAAAACTTGAGACGATCTCAGGTGTCCTGACAGGATAAGCAGATCCTGTTCAACTAGTGTCACCTGTTATGTTGCTCATGATAATTACAAATTCGATGAATAAGCCTAGTACGGTTATGTTACAATCGAGGGAATTAGGGCGGAATTGTGGTTACGACATTTAGAATATATCCATGATCATTTAAGACTTGTTGTGTTATTCGAAACACTAAAGATTTCAATCCCCATGAAAAGATTGCTTTGCCGTATTTGCACAACTTTTCTAAATTTTCGGTTTTTAATGCTCTTCAACTTCGTATTTGAATTGGCTTTCCTAATGTTTTGATTTGAGCGCCATTGATGAGTCTTATGTAGACGAAACGCGCGTCAGGCGTACCAAATTATAACCCTGGTATATTTGATGTGTTTTTACAACCACTCCCCTAACATTAAACGTTTCGTCAAAGGGGTAATCGGTACCATCATCCCAGTAGTCAGCATTTTTTTTGTGTCGATGTGCAATGTCATTGTTATGTTTATCTTCCGTGAATTATATGTTTATAAGATGTTGAATTATTCGAAACACTAAGGTGTTTACCCCCTGACATAGGTTGCCTAAACCGTATCATCCAAGGTTTCGCATGAATACAAATCCCTTTTTGAAGCACACCTAGAGAATAAACTAATCTCTTACAAAGAAATCTTTTGGACCTTCTAATTTTTTACTAGGCAGATCGGTCAATATTTTAAAATATTTCAATATCGGGTAACATACTGAAATGCCGTTTCTCTCACTTCAGGTTTTCTTTCTCTAAATTCCTTTCTTAATCTATCTGTTAACTGGTATATTTAAAAAGGCGCCGTCCTCAGCACATCATAGTTCCTGACATGCATACCAAATAATAGATATAGGTTTTAAAAGGAGCAAGAGGGGTCCATTAACAGGTTAACAATTTTTGATATTGCTCAAAACAGTAAATTTAAAATACTGATAACCGATAACAGCAATTTAAATGATCTTGAATGAGAAAACAGATAACAGTAAATCAAAAAAAAAAAAACAGTAAACATGGGTCATTTTTTTTCACAATAACAGTAAACAACAATGTCAATTTTAAGAAAACGGATAACAACTTATTAGTCAATAACAGTTAACGGCACATATATTTTCAAAATAATAGTTAACAAGAGTTTTAAAATGCCTAATACACATTAACAGAAAAGATCTTGTCCCCTTTTTAAACACTAATGGGTTGAATAAAATGTCACAGAGAAAACGTAGTGTTTTTTTTTTTACAATTTACACCTTTGTTTTTCTAAAGTTTTGAAAATTTATCTTAAATTTAAAACTAGGGATATGTGGTGTGGTTGCCAATCAGACCAAACGATCTTTACTCTATATGAATTCTCACTCAAATCCAATTTATTATCAAGGTCTTGACGGACTTTGCACAAAGACTCAAGACTTTTATTAAATTTGATGCATCAAAATAACTTGGATTTTATATGAGTACAAAGACGGTCAAGACTTTTGTCACATTTGATGCACCAAAATAACTTTGATTTTAGTGAGAATTCATCTAGATTAAAGATCGTTTTGTGGCAATTTCATTATCATTATATAATAGTTATAAACATGTTTATACCTTTGAACTCAATGTCAACTTATCTGTCCTGGTCTGCCATTTCTTTTTCTGTATCCAAGGCTTTTGCCATTTGGCATGCAAGTACGATGTTTTGCGTAATTGACCTTTGACCCCAATGTTAACGTTTGGCACATGTACAAGATCAAACTTAGATTCTCACGCTGTTTGAATCCCTTGCAACTCTCAATACTTTGAAATATGCAAAAGAAATTACATTTCAGGGACAAATACTCCAAATGGATTGTCCTATTTAAAAAAAAATACATGTGAAATAGACATAAACCTGCTGATCATTTACCAAATGTCAGTTTTGCTCTAACTGTTTTAGTTTTTGACACATAAGCCAAAAACTCTTGAAATTTTCTAATAAAATGCTTCGCTGAGCGCAGCTGGATACGACCGCAAAGGTCCAACCCTAAACAGTTGGGGCGAAAATGGACACAATATTCACGCTTGATACAGGTCTGAATTTGGATTGTAATTAAATATTTGACACATAATAGGTTTCTGACACAGAATAACTGTAATCAAAGAACTTAGAATTGGTTATATGATTTGAATTTATATTCAGTTTTTTGCTTTAATGCAATACACTATGCTGTTGCGAATTGACCCCCCCCCCCCCAAAAAAAAAATTACCCCCCCTTTTTTTTTGGCTTAATGAAATACACTATGCTATTGCATATTGACTCCCCCCCCCCCCGCCCCACCCAAACAAAATTATTTTTACCCGCCCCCCCCCCCCCTTTTTTTTTTGCAAAAAAATATATTTGAAGAAATTTTCTTTTTAATTTCTGAAATCTGAAATGAAAATAAAAATTGCCCCCCACAATTTCTTTTATACCCCCCTCCCCCCTTTTCCAAAAAAAAAATTATTTCCCTCAAGATATGGTTATAATCTCAATTCAAATTTCCAATGGAGTTTGTAATCATAATTACCAATTTAAATACATCATACAAGTCTTAAATAGATAATTTAAAAGCAGTGTAAGGGAGGTAATCCAACATTGTACAATTTTGTTTTTGGATTACCTCCCTTACACTGCTTTTAATTTGTCCATTAACCAGGAAACCCTTGTTTTTTCCCCCTAATTCCTAAATGGTTTGAGCCATAACCCCCAAAGCCAATCCTAACCATCCCTTTGTGGTATGGAAACTTGTGGTATAATTTCAGAGAGATCCATACACTTAAACACAAGTTGTTGTCTGGAAGTTAAAAAATGCTTATTTTTGGCCACTTTTTGGCCCCTAATTCCTGAACTGTTGGTACCATAACCCCCAAAACCAATCCCAACCTTCCTTTTGTGGTATTGAACCTTATGGTAAAATTTCATAGAAATCCATTCACTTAAACTCTAGTTGTTGTCCAGAAACTAAATGTGTCTTTGGACGACACCGAGACGACATGATAGCAATATACGACGCAAAATTTTTTTTGCAGTCGTATAAAAATTGACATTTCAGCAGCAATCACTCCAAAATGGGTTATTTGAATATTCTGAAATTTTACAGGAGATAGACCTAGACTTGCTAATCATTTTTACTCTGTAAGTTTTGCTCTAACTGTTCAGTGTTTGAGATATAAGCAAAAAGTGCATTTTACCCTTACCTTCTATATTTAGAGGCCACGTTTGATGTTGGGTCAAATCCCTGGATACAATTTTAAAACTAGTTACCCTAAGGAACATTCAAGTACCGTTTTGTAACATTAGGCCAAGTAGTTTCAGAGAAGATTTTTTAAACAGTTTAGGTCGACTGACAGATGGACAGACAATGATGTCAAGTGATGGAGAAAGCTCAAAAGGCCAGGTGAGCTAAAAGGAGATAAGCTATATAAGTTTTGGCCACCCTGTGATCACTTCCAGTGTAATGACTGAGGATAGGTGTAAAAGCGAAATCTATCAGAGCTGTAGTGAATGTGTGCTCAAAAGGATGTGCATGTTAGTTCAGAGTTTATTGTGCAAAGGCTTTGAGTTTTACAACACCTTATTTTTTTGTGAAAGGTTTTGAGTGGTCCTAAATGCTTTTAAAGGGCTTTATTTGTGCATATATACAAGTTGAGACTTTCAAATTGAGGTGCCATGCTCGATCACAAAATTACAGTGTTTCAACATGAGCTGTTGGAGTTGGGAGTTTCAAGTGAAAGGCTTATGGGTGCTCAAACACATTTTTACAGTGTTCAACCAGTCTTTGGCTATTATTGACTTTCTGTTTATACAATTGATCATTCTTCTTCTTCTTCTTCCTGTTGGGGAGCTCTCCAGACAAGCATGCCCTTAATCATCAAATTATTCAGCTACTTAGAACTGAGACTATCCAACAATACATTTCCTTCAAACACTTACATGATTGCAGAAAAATTGTTGGACCAGATAGGTTAAAATACCTCCTTCAAAAGTGCTTTCCACTTTAAAAAATTGGGAGTTGCAACAAAAATTGTGGGTCTGGGTGAACAAAATTTTATTACAGGCCTGATATGATACGGGAAATATCATATATTAACTTTTTAATTTTCATTGGCGCCATTGTTCCTGTGAAGAAGCTATTAACTGCTAATACTGATGATGACAATTGCTTACATCTGAGTTAAATATATAATATAATTACTGTTTTAAAATTATTTTATTCCATAATTATTAAAAACAATGATATAAAATATGTCTAGTCACTATTATCCATATCTACTTCTTCTATAGCCATACTACTACTGTCAGCAAGCTCTGATTCCTCTAAAATCTCTTTTTCACTGCCTATATGTGATATCTCTAGCTTTCCTGGGATTGTAAACTCTGGTATATCATCATCTGAAACAATATAAAATTATAGGTCAGACATTTGAGATAATTTAAACGTTGTCAATCTCTACAAAGTATCTTATATGATCTAGGTAACCTATTTGGGTGCAAAAATGTAATTTTCAGATCATCGAGAGCCCCTTTTAGGAAAGGAAATAATATGAATTATGCAAACGAAGCAGGGGTGTTAAAAAAAGTTGAAATTTTAGATGATGAGAGATATTGGGCCCTAATAACTTGTGAACTTCATAAAATACAGTGGCATTCAAACAAACCCTTTCTCAAGTGTAAACAATACAATTGAAATTGGATAAATGGTAAAAATGCTATGTACAAATAAAATTGTGATTTTCAGACCCTTTGAACTATGAATGTCAATTTGGTCAAGATTAATTCTGAAGAACAAACAAAACCAACCAATCAATACTCAGGTACTCACTCAGTAACAGTTTATAAATACATATTACATAATACTGTAAGTATACAATCTGCATTTCCAAAGTGGTAGGCATGTCAATTATTAGTGAAGAAAATAACTTATTTATTTTTTCATTGTAAAGTGAAGTGACTTTTTTTAACTAATGAGAAAATACTCATCAAAGATTTGATGGATACCAGACTTAAATATCATATTGGTATGTAAGACTTGCCTTTCATCTTTATAAGACTTATCAGTGGCGCTTTAATAAAAAAAGATTGGAAGGTCATATCAAATACATAGTTGAAGAGCAATTAAAACTGTCCAAAAAGTTGTGCCAATATGGCTAAGGCAATCTATGCCTGGGGGTAGAAAAACCTTAGTATTTTGAATAATTCAACATTTTATAAACAATAGAATTAATGGAAAATGAACAGATTAATGATACAAATAAGGCTTAGTCCAGGAAACACCTTCATTGTTTTTTCTTGACTGAAAGATAAGATCTTTTACTACATAAAGAAATTGATGTGCATATAATATCATTTTCTGCTATGGATGTTGCTTATATTCAATTCACATTTTTTTTTAAAGTATTTTTTGTCATATTAATGTATATCATGCCATGTTCATGACATCAGAAATGATATTTATGCACAAAATTGACTGATCTGTATCACTGATCAAGATTAAAAAACTAGGAGGGTTGAGATCTAAATAACTCAATAATGGCTTAAGTGACACTACCTAAATTCAACTTGATCTGTGTTTTATCAGTGGAAGGCAAAATTAAACATTGCATTGTATAAAACATTGATTGTAGTTGATTCAACTATAATCATGGACAAAGGAAGATAACTCCAATTTTAAAAATTACTTGAACAATAACATTATTGATATTTTTAGAAAAAAAAATGAAAAATTTAGCAATTTTTCCATTTGTAAAGGGGCATAACTCTAGAATAGTAAAAGTGATGCCACCAAAATTCAAACTTGATCTGTGCATTGTGGTAATAAGCATTGTGTATAAGTTTCATAACATTTGGTTGAGGCAAACTTAAGTTAGAGAACGGAATATAAAGGGGCATAACTCTAGAACGATTAAAGAGATGCCACCAAAATTCAAACTTGATCTGTGTTTTGTGGTAATAAGCATTGTGTATAAGCTTGATAACATTAGGTTGAGGCAAACTTAAGTTAGAGAACGGAAACCAATTTTTGGACGTAAGGACATACAGACGTACGTATGGACAGACAGACAAGGGTAAAACTTAATGCCCCCTCCACCTTGGCGGGGGCATAAAAAGACTAGGTTGACCCCACAACATTTTTATGTGCCGGCCCCAAGTCAGGAACCTCATTAGTAGTTGTATGTCATTTCATAATTTTTGTCTTTATTTGGTGAAATCCATTCTAATGGCAGATCTTTGATTTTTCTGTTTAATTTTTTAGCAACTTTTATACAAGCTGTTTGGTCTTTTTGATCATAAGATGTAATCGTAAAACTAGACTTAAGTAATCGTAAAACTAAACTATATGCTACATAGTTTTAGATTTACACCTATGCGTAGGAACTATTTTGTTTTAAATATGTACTACTTTCCAGTATGTTCTTTTTTGACCGGGCCGGATTAGGTGGTGTTACATCTTACAGTCTATTCAAATTTATTTTTGCAAAGAATCCCGCTCAAGCCGGTGCTGGGGGGCATCTTAAACTTGCAGTGAGGTGAGTATTTTTAACTCTGTGTTGAAGGCCTCACTGTGACTTGGAGATGAAAAACAGCAATAAAAGCGCTGTTCCTTTGCTTATTGTGTGTTTTTTTGCTGTGCATGTACTGATTTAGTGTCGTGGATGGATACCCCATATCCTTTGTTTTTCTATTAACAAGATTATTGCCAAGGTCTCAAGGTAAGGAAAGAGAATACTTTTGTTATAGTTTACAGATTGAAGATGAATAGTGATCTCAATAGCTACAAGACCCTTTATTGTGGACTGTTAATGTGAAAAATCTAAGTATTCAGGACTGTCTTTTTGTTCAATGGATTACATGATGGTGAACAGTGCTTTGACAATAGTTTTTCACTGTTGCACAATTTTTGTGATATGTGCATCTTGCAATTTTTCATTATTTCAAAATATATTTTCATCAGCAATGTATACTTCCATTCGAAGGTCAAATAAGACAGTTTTAACATCAATTTAATATCAGCCATGTAGGTTTTTATGTTGTTGATGGTTGGTGGGGTCTGTTGTTTGGTTTATTATCTATAATCTCTTCAACCAATACTAATAAGATCCAAATCTATCAATCATTTAATAATGACTAACCATCGTTAGGTGCCATTTCACTCATCAAAGCTTCCATTACGTTAGTTAACATGGTTGTGGAGAATGTATCATCTCTTCTAATTCCTAAGGCCTGGAAATCAAATAACTTGATTAAGTCAAACTAGATTGAAATACATTACTAACTGTAAAATCACAAATCATTGCATGCATTTATTGACTTTACTATTAAACAACAAGACAAAAATATGCCAGGTGTATTAATGGAATATCTGGAAATTCTGCACATACAAATAATGCTATATAATTACATTACATGTATGTTTCATTATAATACGTTATTTTGATTGCTAACAGCAATCTCGCGTCATTCTGTTCTGAAATTAACCTTCATTTCAAGATGAAATGTAACAATCATGATGACACGAGCTTCCACAATAAAGTGCCCAGGTAAATAAAAGAAAAACTTGATAGAAACCGTGTTTTCATGATCCTAGTAAAAAAAATGTAATTATAAGTATTGAAATTTTTCTTTTAGTAATTTTCCGTGCTTCATACAAAATGTACCTCTGTCAACGCTTTTACACCCAAATAAATTTACAAAAAGAAGCATTCAATTCTTAAATGAATCTTAAATGTGAGTTCTAATTAATGCCATGCAAATTTTTAGCACTTCAAAAACCATCTCAAAAATTTCTGAATTTAAAGTATTATATCAACTGATTTTAATAATAATATACATTTTATTCAAAATATACTTCCATAATCTATGCTTCAGTAAGTCTTCACCCTTTCTAAGGTGTAGAGCTAAAAACCTTTATAAGCAAATGATAGTTTAGGAAAATTCAAAATATACAACTCTATTATTATAACTTAAAACATAATATAAACAAATTACAACATTAAAACCATACACATTTTGAATTGGAACTTTACTTCAGATTCATGTCGACCGTTAAATTCTTCATGTTGACACACTTTAAAACAATTGGCCCATTTATAAGTATAAGCAAAAAATACCTTATGAAAATAGTCTACAGCCATCATATTGTTACCCATGAGTACATAACAGTAACCAATAGCAGAAAATGTAGATGGACATTGAGGTGATATGATCTGTGCTCTTCTATGATATTCTAAGGATTCTTCATACTTCCTGAAAAAAACATAACGAAAGTAACTTTAAAACTATATTTTTGATTCAAAGAAATGGTAATTTTCTTGTAAATGGAATGTAGAAAAATGATTTTATAATTTCATAAATTATGTCTAATTCTCTTTTGCAAAGACTTTTATAACAAATTATTTATATCCTTTTGATATGAATTTGGTATGGAATACATGTATCCAAGGGGTTGAATGTTTGTTTTACATTTACTATTGGTTATACTTGTTTGTTTTTTTGGTCTTGCTTAGAAGATATATCTTAAACAGTGACTTGTGTGAACATTTTAAATCAACTAACCTGATTTTTTATAAAACGTTTCACAGAAATTAAAATGCCTCAAATGGAAAACTTCAAATTTAAGAATAATCCTATTCAGAATGCGTGTTTATATACTTGAATATAATAACAAAAAAAGAGATATAAAGAAGATAGGTCATAAATTTTATCTGGTAAGAATTGTACATGTGAGAGTGATTACAAGAACGGATGGACAGACAGACGCCAGGTATTTCTATGTCCCATGCAAGGCATTGCACAGGGGACAATAAGAATTGACAGTATTACACTCTCTAACTTACTTCAGTTTTCTACAAGTATGACCTAAGTTATTAAGTAAAGGTTCCCATTTCTCTACCAACACTTGTTCACCAACACACTGCACTTTCTGTAATGCTTCTTTAAAGTATCTCTCTGCTGCAAGGTAACTAAAAAGTACAAATAGCATTAACAGAAACTGTAACTAAGTTCTATAACCTACACATTCTACAATGAAACTATTCATAAAGTCAGAATGTACCCCGGTATCATACATAAAATATATTTATAAGAAAACAATTTTTTTTTAAATTGGCAATATTATGTAGCCTATTTTATTATTAAAGTATAGGATACAGATGTTCATGAGTTTTGGGATAAATTTTCATTAATACCTACTAGTTTAATATTTGTGTAGATTCCAACTTGTACTTGAAAGTGCTCACAAATATGTTTAACCCTGCAACATTCTATATGTGCCTGTCCAAATAATGGAGTATGTTATTTAGTTCTTGTGATTGGTTGCTATTTTTCATCTTTGTTTTTTCATTTATTGTTTTGTACATGTACATAAATCAGGCTATCAGTTTTCTTGTTCGAAATTGTTTTACACTTTTTTAATCAAGGTCTTTCATAGCTTTCTATACGGAATAGGTTTAGCTCTTTGTTGAAGGCCATAATTGACCTCTTGTGGATAGTTGTCTCATTGGCAATGATATCTTTTATTTTTATATTAATTCAATTTCATAAAACTATATCTGATTAACATGTAAACAAAGACCCCTACTAAGTTTGTATGATCCATCATACTATACAAGATTTGGACACTTATGAAAAATCACTCTTCTTTGATTTGACAAGCTTACAACTGGATTTAAAACTTAACACTGTTCGCTGCACTCAAGAGTTGACATGGAACTTTGTTACTATTCAAGAAGTATACACCAGTGTCCTAGGTCAGGGGAGGGTTTGGTGCCTTCAAACATGTTTAAGCCTGCCACATTATGTATGTGCCTGTCCCAAGTCAGGAGCCTGTAATTCAGTGGTTGTCGTTTGTTGCTGTATATCAAATAAGTTTTTCATTTTTTGTTTGGTACATTAATCAGGTCATTAGTTTTCTCGTTTGAATTGTTTTACATTTATCATTTCAAGGCCTTTATAGCTTGCCTTGCGGTATGGGTTTTTCTCATTGTTGAAAGCCATACAGTTACCTATAATTGCTAACTTCTAAGTCATTTGGTCTCTGGTATAGAGTTGTCTCACTGGCAATCATACCACATCTTCTTATTTTTATAATGAAGACAATATCATTCCTCTATGATTTGTAGTTGCTTTGATTTCTACTTTAAAAATACACAACTTAACAATTCATTTGGAAAATGTAGATTATTACTATCAAAGATGTCTGTACTATGTAAATTCCACAAAATTTTGAATTGGTTTGCCTTTAACAGGTTTTGGTTCATCTACAATTCTAGCTCAATTTGGAGATATAAGTGCAATCGGGCTATACATAATTATCTCCCTTGGAAATTTTTCAATACAATTTCTTTTTCCCGCTTGTAATATTAAGACATTATCAGGTACTGTAGATTCATTTATTTTCGTGGGTATCAATTTTCGTGGAAAGAGAAAAAAAGACGTTTCGTGGTATACGTAAATTCGTGGATCGCTGATTACAAAAAAAAAATTCAGATACGTAATTCGTGGATTTCTTTTTGATTTAGGTGATCATATAACCTCTTTGGTTTGATCAATAATAAAACAAACAAAAAAGAAGGAATTCATTGAAAAAGTTTTGAATTGTTAAAATCCTCGCTTGGTCATTCTAGGTTAAAGTGTTCATTGAAAACTTCTATTACAATAATGGACAGAGACAACTAATTATTTATTTGTATAAGGCATTCAAAACTCTATGATTGAAAGCTCATTTCCCTAATCACAATATAATAAACAGTTATATAAGTAAAAGGTGTGAAAATAAATGTTCCTGTCATAAACATATTACCTACGGGCAATATCCCCGTACTTAATCCTATTGATTTTTAATCACCAGTAAACCAAACTATGACACGGTAATTAACAACTTGCAGTTATTTTCCATGAATGGTTTTAATCAATTTTAAAAAGTAAATTATCACTGATATTCGATATATTTATTATTAATTCAATCAAAATACTTGTATCTTCTTTCAATAAAAACACGTGTTATGTTACAATGTTTATCGCTAGTCAACACTATATTAGAACTGCATAACATAACCGGAAATAAACATCCGACTCCATACACATTTCTCGGGATTATTCTTCGTTGAATTCTTAAATTCGTGGTTCGCTGTGACCCACGAAACCCACGAAAATTGGTATACCACGAATAAAAATGAATCCACAGTAATACTTTTTATTTTTACTTTTACAATGAACTAAATATTCCCCAAAAAATTATGATAAAGTAAAAAAATTGTACACAGAAATATTTAACAAACTTTCTTTATTACACTGAAATGTTTTTGACTGCATTTCAAAATATTAATGCAGAAACACATCATATCACAGTAATCCTCCCAATCTACACTTTTCAAAACCTACCTAACTGATTAGTTGTTTCAATTTGTTTTCGTCCTGAATATGCATAAAACAGCAGTCAATGGACCTTATATGCAAATAATAGAAGAACGTGTTCATCAATTTTTTATTTATAAAGGGACATAACTCGAGAATGGTAAAAGTAACACCCCCCCTAATTCACACTTGATCTGTGTTTGATGGTTATAAGCATTGTGTGTAAGTTTCATCACATTTGGATGAGGCAAACTGCAGTAAGAGAGCTGAAACAACAAATTTGCCAATTGTTCCATTTATAAAGGGACATTACTAGAGAATATTGGATATGACCCCACCCATATTCAAACTTAATCTGTGTTTGGTGGTAATAAGCATTGTCTGTAAGTTTCATAATATTTGGTTGAGGAAAACTAAAGTTAGAGTGCGTAAACAGTAAATTTAGCAATTTTTCCATGTATAAAGGGACATAATTGGAGAACAGTGAAAGTGACACCACCCAAATTCAAACTTGATCAGGTTTTGGTGGTAATAAGCATTGTGTATAAGTTTCATAACAATTGGTTGCTGCAAACTAAAGTTAGAGAACAGAAACCAATTTTGGGATGTTAGGAACTTAATGCCCCCAATGCCAAGGCGTCGGCATATAAATATTCAATGAATTAATCATTTATAAGTAAAATGTTGTCAAATTTGATTGAATTTGCGTAGACCTTCCTTGATTTAAAAGATATGGTTACAAAACCTAACTAGGTGCTCCTGCTCAAGGTCAACTGAATAGAAAAGTAAGTTCTTCCTTCATCCCACTTCCTGTGCTACTCAACATAAAGCTCTATTGTCCTAAATCAATTTTCAAATTTATAATTAATCTTTTTATAGACTTTTTATGATAAATTTAAACATGCAATAGCAAAGCAGTTGATTAACAAATGAACATACAACTTACTCCTGATTTTGAAATGCTATAACACCCATCTCATGTAAAACAAATGGATCTTCTGGAGCTATACTAAGAGCCTGACTGAAGAATCTTTCTGCTAGTTTGGCATTGTTTGTAAGTCCATATTCTAGTCCTATGTACAAGATAGGTAAATGACAACCCTTCATTAACTGTGAAGCTGTGAAGTATGCAGCCATAGCTTGATCATGTTCATTATCTGAGGCAAAAGAATGTCCAAATGCTAACCATGCTGGTCCATACACTCTGTCTAATGTGGTAGCTTTACTGAAATATATGAACATATTTCTCAGTATTGAATTATGTAAATTTTACTGAGAATACAACAATAGGCTTAGATTGACACAACTTAAGCAGGAGTTACTACCCTTTTGTTTCCAGGTTGGAGGTCTAAGTGCCAAAATTCCTCCTGTCTTTTTTTTTTTGTGTGTACTGAATATCACATCTAAAGTATAGAACTTTTAAACAATCAATTGACTTAAAATGTTTTGCAGTTTAAATCAGGGTAACTAAAATGGTTTTAATTCAAATCTGGATAAGGGCAAACGTCTAATTTACATGGGATTTAGAAAAACAAATATTTTTCTTGCTGACGTTTTACAACACTGAAGGGATCTGCCGAACTAGGTATCGATTTGCCATGATTTTACACTATTACAGCATAAATAAGAAAAAATGAAAGTTGTAAATATTTACCACAGATATCTTCTTGCAGGTTCACTTTTCTCTATTAATAAATAATAACACCCCACTGCAAACCAGGATACCTGGAAACATATCATTAACCTGAATGAATTTTCCAATATTTATAATGATATTTTTATCAATTTCTTACAACTGTTTAATAATGTAAGTTAAGATTATTCTTTCTTCATCAATAATATTTTGTCATATTCTAAACTATTGAACTCCCAAAATGTTACAGACAAGTCGTTACAGAATGTGAAAAGGGAAATAACTCCAGATGAGGAAATACAATAACTTTGGTTGATAATTTTATCATTGGCAATCATACCACCTCTTTCATTTTCTGAAGTACTTCAATGATGTTAAATGTAATTGTACTTACTGGTTTATTAGGATATAGGTCTACTAGTTTGTGTGCTAAATAAAATAATTCTGAAAAGACAAAAATAAAACATATGTATATCAAACTATCCTGTTATCATACACATAATATATACTTTTGTAGCAGCTTTCATTTGAGAATTACACTATTCTCTTACTTCACTTGTTGCCATTTTGGAGATCCTGCTTTAAATTAAATACTATATACATGTACCTACATTTCTAAAATCATAATATCTTTGTTTGTTTATTTTGAAGATATTACCTAATGCCCTACAACTGTTGTAATTTTTACCTTTTGTAATTATTTTGATGTGGTATACCCTTTATCAATTGTTGACATGACCAATTTGGATCAGGAATATCAATTTAGTAGTCACCAAGTTGAACTTTATTTCCAGTGGTCTACAAGTTCAACTTCCAGGTATTGATTAAATATTGACAATACTAAAATATCTTATTTGTTGCATTAGGGACATTAAACTGTAGTAGTACAGACCATGTTTTCAATTTTATAGCAAATCAGAAGGAAATGAAGTCCAACTACCAGATTCTGTGAATATCTAACATCCCCCCTTTCTGACTTCTAGTACAAAAAAATTTGTAAGGGTTCCGCAGAACCCAGTGTCTCGCCTACTTTTTCTGTTAATCGCAGGCTCAACAAAAATGAGGAAGTAAATCAATAAAAATATTCCTCTTGATACTATCTTTTGATTGTAAGAAGCTTCTGTCCAAGTTTGGTAAAAATCCAGGATAATTTATGAATCTAATAAATGTTTAAAAACTTTTAACTGCAGACTCAATGTAATGTTAACTGGAAGAAAACAAAATTTCCTTCCAGATACTAGCATTTGATCATAAACAAGCTTCTGTCCAAGTTTGGTACAAATCCAAAATAGCATAAGAAAGTTATTAAAATTTTTAAAACTTTAACCACAGAGTGAATGTGTTGTTTCCTGGCAGAAAATCTAAGTCCATTTAAAAGTAAAATACAGAAAAAATGGATTTATTTTTTTACAAAATTTTCTTCTAGATACTAGCTTTTGATCATAAACAAGCTTCTGTCCAAGTTTGGTACAAATCCAAAATAGTATAAGAAAGTTATTAAAATTTTAAAAACTTTAACCACAGAGTGAATGTGTTGTTTCCTGGCAGAAAATCTAAGTCCATTTAAAAGTAAAATACGGGAAAAATGGATTTATTTTTTTACAAAATTTCCTTCTAGATACTAGCTTTTGATCATAAACAAGCTTCTGTCCAAGTTTGGTACAAATCCAAAATAGTATAAGAAAGTTATTAAAATTTTAAAAACTTTAACCACAGAGTGAATGTAATATTTTCAGGCAGAAAAACTAAGTCCATTTATAAGTAAAATACAGAAAAAATGGAATTTTATTTTTACAAAATTTACTTCTGGATACTATCTTATGATCATAAACAAGCTTCTGTCCAAGTTTGGTAGAAATCCAGGATAGTTTAAGAAAGATATTAAAATTTCAAAAACTTTAACCACAGAGTGAATATTTGTGGACGCCGCCGCTGACGACGACAACGCCGATAGAATGTAGGATCGCTATGTCTTGCTTTCTCACCTAAAGTCGAATGCTCGACAAAAATGACTAAGTCCAAATACCTGGCATTTTCTGAGTATTTGAAAATAAAGTTAGAGAACCGAAATGAAAAATTCAGCAATTTTTATGTTTATAAAGGGACATAGCTCTAGAATGGTAAAAGGGTCGCCACCAAATTTCGTACTTAATCTGTATTATGTAGTAATGAGCATTGTGTATAAGTTTCATAACATTTAGTTGAGGCAAACTAAAGTTAGAAAACGGAAACAAATTTAATTTATCAGTAGGAAGCAAAATTGAATATTGCATTGTATAAAGCATTGGTTGTAGTTGATTCAACTACCATTATGCACAAAGAAAGATAACTTCAATTTTCAAAGAAGACTTTAATATATTTTTAGAAATGAAATGAAGGGTAAAAATTGCTTTAATTTATCAGTGGAAGGCAAAATTAAACATTGCATTGTATAAAGCATTGATTGTAGTTGATTCAACTATAATCATGGACAAAGGAAGATAACTCCAATTTTAAAAATGATGATATTTAGAAAAAAAAATTTGTAAGGGTCCCGCGGAACCCAGTGTCTCGCCTACTTTTGCTGTTAATCGCAGGCTCAACAAAAAGGAAAAAAATTAATAAAAATATTCCTCTCTATACTATCTTTTGATTGTAATTAGCTTCTGTCCAAGTTTGGTAAAAATCCAGGATAGTTTATGAATCTAATAAATGTTTTAAAAACTTTAACTGCAGACTGTATGTAATGTTAACTGGAAGAAAAAAGTCCATTTATAAGTAAAATATGGAAAAAATGGAACAAAATTTTAACAAAATTTCCTTCTAAATACTAGCTTTTAATCATAAACAAGCTTCTGTCCAAGTTTGGTAGAAATCCAGGATAGTTTAAGAAAGTTGTTAAAATTTTAAAAACTTTAAAAACAGAGTGAATGTTATGTTAACTGGCAGAAAAACTAAGTCCATTTAAAAGTAAAATACGGAGAAAATGGAATTTTTTTTCTACAAAATTTACTGCTGGATACTATCTTATGATCATAAACAAGCTTCTTCCCAAGTTTGGTAGAAATCCAGGATAGTTTAAGAAAGTTATTAAATTTTCAAAAACTTTAACCACAGACTGAATGTAATGTTTCCTGGCAGAAAAACTAAGTCCATTTATAAGTAAAATACGGTAAAAGTGGATTTTTTTTTTTACAAAATTTACTTTTGAATATTATCTTATGATCATAAACAAGCTTCTGTCCAAGAAATCCAGGATTGTTTAAGAAACTTATTAAAATTTCAAAAACTTTAACCACAGAGTGAATATTTGTGGACGCCGCCGACGACGGAATGTAGGATCACTATGTCTCGCTTTTTCGACAAAAGTCAAAGGCTCCACAAAAAAAAAAGAAAAATTTAACAATTTTTCCATTTGTAAAGGGCATAACTCTAGAACAGTAAAAGTGACGGCACCAAAATTCAAACTTGATCTGTGTTTTGTGGTAATAAGCATTGTGTATAAGTTTCATAACATTTGGTTGAGGCAAACTTAAGTTAGAGAACAGAAACGAAAAATTTAGCAATTTTTCCATTTGTAAAGGAGCATAACTCTGGAACGGTAAAAGTGACGCCACCAAAATTCAAACTTGATCTGTATTTAGTGGTAATAAGCATTGTGTATAAGTTTCATAACATTTGGCTGAGGCAAACTAAAGTTAGAGACTGGAAACCAAATTTGGGACGTACAGACGTACAGACAGACAAAAGTAAAACTTAATGCCCCCTCTGCTACCGCGGGGGCATAAAAATCAAAATCTTGTGGACATGCAAATTTCCATTATGTGTACAAGCAACCTACAAAATATTAATGCTGTAGCTCAAAAACTGTAGGAGGAGATAGCGGGGAAAACCATGATCTCTTTATGCAGCTAGTACCAAAAAATGACTAGCATTTTGAGAATATTTGAATAAAATCAAAATCCTGTGGACATGCACACCTGTATTATGTGTAGAAACATCCTACAAATTATTAAAGCTGTAGCTCAAAAATGTAGGAGGAGATAGCCAAACAAACCATGCATTTATATCCGCACGGACAAACAGATAGATGAACGGATGGACAGCCAAGGGTAAATTAATATGCCCCTCAACATTTTGTCGTGTGGGCATAAAAAAGCCTACCATCAAGTGCTTTTAATGAGGATAATTTACAAGAATTTATTACTCAAAAATACAGATGTTGATTGATGTTTTATTTAATGGCACATTGATCTACTTTTGCTGCTCACTAAAAATAGACTTTAATACAGATGTTTTCATAGGTTTACTTGTGTGCCAAGCAATGGGACCTTATATTCACCATGTTAAACCAAGAAGTGGAAATAATGATTTATCAGAGTTTATCAAATATTTCTGTTTAAGATATGTCATTTAGAAACACTATTGACCTAAGACTGTATAATTAAGGATTTGAATGTACCTTTTGTTTTCTTCAGTTCTACTAAAACAGCAATATGTAATGGTAAGCATTGACTATTATATGGGTCTTTTTGTAATACCCTGAAATAAAAATGTTATCATATTTGTACAATATTTACACAAAAGTATGTATCATACAATGCCCATTCATATCAGAAACAACAAATACACAAGAGGCTCTCAAGAGCCTGAATCGCTCACCTGTATTTCAGAGGAGAAGATTTTTAAATGTTAGCAAACTTGAACAAATTGTGTAAAATTGTCTTTAAAGGGCAATAACTCCTTAAGGGGTTAATTGACAATTTTGGTCATATTAACTTTTTTGTAGATCTTACTTTGCTGAACATTATTGCTGCTTACAGTTTATATATATCTATAATAATATTCAAAATAATAACAAATAAAATGCTCCGCAGGGCGCAGCTTGATTCGACCGCAGAGGTCGAACCCTGAACAGTTGGGTCAAGTATGGACACAACATTCAAGCTTGATACAGCTCTGAATTTGGATTGTGATTAAATATTTGACACAGCATAGGTTTCTGACACAGAATGAATGTGGTCTAAGAACTTAAAAATTTTAAATTGGACATTCACCTATTATGGTCCAATATCCAAAATCTAAATACATGGTTAGATTCAGCATATCAAAGAACCCCAAGAATTCAATTTTTGATGAAATCAAACAAAGTTTAATTTTGGACCCTTTTGACCTCAATGTGGACAAAGTTGATAACGGGGCCCAAAAATCAAAAATCTAAATACATGGTTAGATTCAGCATATCAAAGAACCCCATATATTCAATTTTTGTTGAAATCAAACAAAGTTTAATTTTAAACCCGATTTGGACCAACTTAAAAACTGGGCCCATAATCAAAAATCTAAATACATGTTTAGATTCAGCATATCAAAGAACCCTAAGAATTCAATTTTTGTTAAAATCAAACTTAGTTTAATTTTGGACCCTTTGGACCTTAATGTAGACCAATTTGAAAACGGAACCAAAAATTAAGAATCTAAATACATGGTTAGAAATTGGCATATCAAAGAACCCCAATAATTCAATTTTTGATGAAATCAAACAAAGTTTAATTTTGGACCCTTTGGATCTCAATGTGGACCAATTTAAAAACGGGGCCCAAAATCCAAAAACTTAATACACGGTTAGATTCAGCATATTAAAGAACCCCAAGAATTCAAGAATAAAACCCCATTGAAATTGGTCAAGAAATAAGCAATTTATACGAAGTATCTTCTTTTGCACAATACTGTGCAATTAAATATTTCTTGCTATTGCGCAATACTGCACAATTGACAATTTCTTGCTATTGCGCAATATTGTGCTATTGGATATTTCTTGCTATTGCGCAATACTGTGCAATTGAAGATTTCTTGCTATTGCGCAATACTGTGCAATTGAAGATTTCTTGCTATTGTGCAATACTGTGCAATTGAAAATTTCTTGCTATTGCGCAATACTTATTATATAATAATTTACACATCCTGTTTGGTGTGTATCTCCTACCATATCATTATTATTTGCTTTTAAATATAAATCAGAAATAACCAACTTAAAATGGAAAATTTTAAAAGAAAAAAAAAAGGAAAAAAAGAAAAAATAGGAAAAAAAATAAAAATCTCCCCCCCCCCCCCCCTCCCAATTTTTTGAACCCCCTTATGATTCATCACCCCCAAACTCAATCCCAGCCTTCCTTTTGTGGTATGGTACCTTGCAGTACAATTTCAGAGAGATCCATACACTTGAACACAAGTTATTGTCTGGAAACTAGAAAAATGTGTTTTTTGGCCCTTTTTTGGCCCCTTATTCCTAAACGTTTAGGGCAATTACCCCTAAACTCAATTCCAGCTTCTCCTTTGTGATATGGAATCTTGTAGTACAATTTCAGAAAGATTCATACACTTTCACACAAGTTATTGTCATGAAACTAGAAAAATGCTTGTTTTTTGCCCCTTTTTTGGCCCCTAATTCCTAATATTTTGAGGCAATTACCCCCAAAATCAATCCCAGCATTCCCTTTGTGATATGGAACCTTGTGGTACAATGTCAGAGAGATCCATACACTAACACACAAGTTATGTCTGGAAGTTACAAAAATGCTTATTTTTGGCCCCTTTTTGGCCCCTAATTCCTCAACTGTTGGTACCATAACCCCCAAAATCAATCCCAACCTTCCTTTTGTGGTATTGAACCTTATGGTAAAATTTCATAGAGATCCATTCACTTAAACTAAAGTTAGAGTGCGAAAACCAATGTGTCTTCGGACGACGACGACGTCATACCAATATACGACCGCAAAAATTTTTGCGGTCGTATAAAAACTGCAAAATTTTGTTAACACTACCAATTCGGTGGCAGCAACCCAACAATGGGTTGTTCGATTCGTCTGATAATTTCAGGGCTGATAGATCTTGACCAATTAAACAATTTTACCCCATGTCACCATTTGCTCTAAAAGATTTAGTTTTTGAGATATCAGCCAAAAACTGCATTTGATCCTTATGTTCTATTTTTAGCCATGGCGGCCATGTTTGTCGATGGATACAAACTTCAGCTACAATTTATAAACAAGATACCCTAAGGAACATTTAGTTAAAGTTTGAAGGTAATTGGCCCAGTAGTTTCAGAGGAGAAGATTTTTAAATGTTAGCAAACTTGATGAACAAATTGTGTAAAATTGTCTTTAAAGGGCAATAACTCCTTAAGGGGTCAAATGACAATTATGGTCATATTAACTTTTTTGTAGATCTTACTTTGCTGAACATTATTGCTGCTTACAGTTTATGTATATCTATAATATTATTCAAAATAATAACAAATAAAATGCTCCGCAGGGCGCAGCTTGACCACAGAGGTCGAACCCTGAACAGTTGGGGCAAGTATGGACACAACATTCAAGCTTGATACAGCTCTGAATTTGGATTGTGATTAAATATTTGACACAGGATAGGTTTTTGACACAGAATGAATGTGGTCTAAGAACTTAAAAATTTTAAATTGGACATTCACCTATTATGGTCCAATATCCAAAATCTAAATACATGGTTAGATTCAGCATATCAAAGAACCCCAAGAATTCAATTTTTGATGAAATCAAACAAAGTTTAATTTTGGACCCTTTTGACCTCAATGTGGACAAAGTTGATAACAGGGCCCAAAAATCAATAAAATGCTTCGCTGGGCGCAGCTTGATACGACCGCAGAGGTCGAACCCTGAACAGTTGGGGCAAGTATGGACACAACATTCAAGCTTGATACAGCTCTGAATTTGGATTGTGATTAAATATTTGACACAGCATAGGTTTCTGACTCAGAAAGAATGTGGTCTAAGAACTTCAATTTTTTTTAATTTACCTATTATGGTCCAATGTCCAAAATCAAAATACATGGTTAGATTCAGCATATCAAAGAACCCCATATATTCAATTTTTGTTGAAATCAAACAAAGTTTAATTTTGGACCCCAACTTGGACAAACTTGAAAACTGGTCCCATAATCAAAAATCTAAACACATGTTTAGATTCAGCATATCAAAGTACCCGAAGAATTCAATTTTTGTTAAAATCAAACTAAGTTTAATTTTGGACCCTTTGGACCTTAATGTAGACAAATTTAAAAAACGGGACCCAAAATTAAAAATCTAAAAACACGGTTAGATTTGGCATATCAAAGAACCCCAATAATTAAATTTTTGATGAAATCAAACAAAGTTTAATTTTGGACCCTTTTGACCTCAATATGAACCAATTTGATAGCGGGCCCACACATAAAAAATCTAAATACATGGCAAGATTCAGCATATCAAAGAACCCCATATATTCAATTTTTGTTGAAATCAAACAAAGTTTAATTTTGGACCCCAATTTGGACCAACTTGAAAACTGGGCCAAAAATCTAAAATCTAAATACATGTTTAGATTCAGCATATCAAAGAACCCCATATATTCAATTTTTGTTGAAATCAAACAAAGTTTAATTTGGACCCCAACTTGGACCAACTTGAAAACTGGTCCCATAATCAAAAATCTAAACACATGTTTAGATTCAGCATATCAAAGAATGAATTTTTGTTAAAATCAAACTAAGTTTAATTTTGGACCCTTTGGACCTTAATGTAGACCAATTTAAAAAACAGGACCCAAAATTAAAAATCTAAATACACGGTTAGATTTGGCATATCAAAGAACCCCAATAATTCAATTTTTGATGAAATCAAACAAAGTTTAATTTTGGACCCTTTTGACCTCAATATGAACCAATTTGATAGCGGGCCCACAAATAAAAAATCTAAATACATGGTAAGATTCAGCATATCAAAGAACCCCATATATTCAATTTTTGTTGAAATCAAACAAAGTTTAATTTTGGACCCCAATTTGGACCAACTTGAAAACTGGGCCAAAAATCTAAAATCTAAATACATGTTTAGATTCAGCATATCAAAGAACCCCATATATTCAATTTTTGTTGAAATCAAACAAAGTTTAATTTTGGACCCAACTTGGACCAACTTGAAAACTGGGCCCATAATCAAAAATCTAAACACATGTTTAGATTCAGCATATCAAAGAACCCCAAGAATTCAATTTTTGTTAAAATCAAACTAAGTTTAATTTTGGACCCTTTGGACCTTAATGTAGACCAATTTAAAAAACAGGACCCAAAATTAAAAATCTAAATACATGGTTAGATTCGGCATATCAAAGAACCCCAATAATTCAATTTTTGATGAAATCAAACAAAGTTAAATTTTGGACCCTTTGGACCTCAATGTGGACCAATTTAAAAACGGGGCCCAAAATCCAAAATCTTAATACACGGTTAGATTCAGCATATTAAAGAACCCCAAGAATTCAAGAACAAAACCCCATTGAAATTGATCAAGAAATAAGCAATTTATACGAAGTATCTTCTTTTGCACAATACTGTGCAATTGAATATTTCTTGCTATTGCGCAATACTGTACAATTTACAATTTCTTGCTATTATGCAATATTGTGCTATTGGATATTTCTTGCTATTGCGCAATACTGTGCAATTGAAGATTTCTTGCTATTGCGCAATACTGTGCAATTGAAGATTTCTTGCTATTGTGCAATACTGTGCAATTGAAAATTTCTTGCTATTGCACAATACTTATTATATAATAATTTACACATCCTGTTTGGTGTGTATCTCCTACCATATCATTATTATTTGCTTTTAAATATAAATCAGAAATAACCAACTTAAAATGGAAAATTTTAAAAGAAAAAAAAAAGGAAAAAAAGAAAAAAAAAAAAAAAAAAATCCCCCCCCCCCCAAATTTTTTGAACCCCCTTATGATTCATCACCCCCAAACTCAATCCCAGCCTTCCCTTTGTGGTATGGTACCTTGCAGTACAATTTCAGAGAGATCCATACACTTGAACACAATTTATTGTCTGGAAACTAGAAAAATGCTTATTTTTGGCCCCTTTTTGGCCCCCAATTCCTAAACGTTTCGGGCAATTACCCCCAAACTCAATTCCAGCTTTCCCTTTGTGATATGGAACCTTGTAGTACAATTTCAGAAATATCCAAACACTTACACACAAGTTATTGTCATGAAACTAGAAAAATGCTTGTTTTTTGCCCCTTTTTTGGCCCCTAATTCCTAAAATTTTGAGGCAATTACCCCCAAAATCAATTACAGCCTTCCCTTTGTGATATGGAACCTTGTGGTACAATGTCAGAGAGATCCATACATTTACACACAAGTAATTGTCTGGAAGTTACAAAAATGCTTATTTTTGGCCCCTTTTTGGCCCCTAATTCCTTAACTGTTGGTACCATAACCCCCAAAATCAATCCCAACCTTCCTTTTGTGGTATTGAACCTTATGGTGAAATTTCATGGAGATCCATTCACTTAAACTAAAGTTAGAGTGCGAAAACCAATGTGTCTTCGGACGACGCCGGACGACGACGACGACGACGACGCCAACGTCATACCAATATACGACCAAAAAATTTTTAATTTTTGCGGTCGTATAAAAATCTAAATACATGGTTAGATTCAGCATATCAAAGAACCCCATATATTCATTTTTTGTTGAAATCAAACAAAGTTTAATTTTGGTCCCCGATTTGGACCAACTTGAAAACTGGGCCCATAATCAAAAATCTAAATACATGTTTAGATTCAGCATATCAAAGAACCCTAAGAATTCAATTTTTGTTAAAATCAAACTTTGTTTAATTTTGGACCCTTTGGACCTTAATGTAGACCAATTTGAAAACTGAACCAAAAATTAAGAATCTAAATACACGGTTAGATTTGGCATATCAAAGAACCCCAATAATTCAATTTTTGATGAAATCAAACAAAGTTTAATTTTGGACCCTTTGGACCTCAATGTGGACCAATTTAAAAACGGGGCCCAAAATCCAAAAACTTAATACACGGTTAGATTCAGCATATTAAAGAACCCCAAGAATTCAAGAATAAAACCCCATTGAAATTGGTCAAGAAATAAGCAATTTATACGAAGTATCTTCTTTTGCGCAATACTGCACAATTGCCAATTTCTTGCTATTGCGCAATATTGTGCTATTGGATATTTCTTGCTATTGCGCAATACTGTGCAATTGAAGATTTCTTGCTATTGCGCAATACTTTGCAATTGAAGATTTCTTGCTATTGTGCAATACTGTGCAATTGAAAATTTCTTGCTATTGCACAATACTTATAATATAATAATTTACACATCCTGTTTGGTGTGTATCTCCTACCATATCATTATTATTTGCTTTTAAATATAAATCAGAAATAACCAACTTAAAATGGAAAATTTTAAAAGAAAAAAAAAAGGAAAAAAAGAAAAAAAAGGAAAAAAAAAAAAAATCCCCCCCCCCAAATTTTTTGAACCCCTTATGATTCATCACCCCAAAATTCAATCCCAGCCTTCCCTTTGTGGTATGGTACCTTGCAGTACAATTTCAGAGAGATCCATACACTTGAACACAAGTTATTGTCTGGAAACTAGAAAAATGTGTTTTTTGGCCCCTTTTTGGCCCCCAATTCCTAAACGTTTCAGGCAATTACCCCCAAACTCAATTCCAGCTTTCCCTTTGTGATATGGAACCTTGTAGTACAATTTCAGAAATATCCAAACACTTACACACAAGTTATTGTCATGAAACTAGAAAAATGCTTGTTTTTTGCCCCTTTTTTGGCCCCTAATTCCTAAAATTTTGAGGCAATAAACCCCAAAATCAATCACAGCATTCCCTGTGTGATATGGAACCTTGTGGTACAATTTCAGAGAGATCCATACACTTGAACACAAGTTATTGTCTGGAAACTAGAAAAATGCTTATTTTTGGCCCCTTTTTCCTAAACATTTCAGGCAATTACCCCCAAACTCAATTCCAGCTTTCCCTTTGTGATATGGAACCTTGTAGTACAATTTCAGAAAGATCCATACACTTACACACAAGTTATGTCTGGAAGTTACAAAAATGCTTATTTTTGGCCCCTAATTCCTTAACTGTTGGTACCATAACCCCCAAAATCAATCCCAACCTTCCATTTGTGGTATTGAACCTTATGGTAAAATTTCATAGAGATCCATTCACTTAAACTAAAGTAAGAGTGCAAAAATCAATGTGTCTTCGGACGATGCCGGACATCGACGACGTCATACCAATATACGACCGCAAAAATTTTTGCGGTCGTATAAAAACTGCAAAATTTTGTTAACACTACCAATTCGATGGCAACAACCCAACAATGGGTTGTTCGATTCGTCTGAAAATTTCAGAGCTGATAGATCTTGACCAATTGAACAATTTTACCCCCTGTCAGATTTGTCAGATTTGTCAGATTTGCTCTAAAAGCTTTAGTTTTTGAGATATAAGTCAAAAACTGCATTTGACCCCTATGTTCTATTTTTAGCAATACAATTATACAATTTATAAACTAGATACCCTAAGGAACATTTAGTTAAAAGTTTGAAGGTATTTGGCCCAGTAGTTTCAGAGGAGAAGATTTTTGAAACGACAGATGACAACGACAGACGACGACGGACGCCAAGTGATGGCATAAGCCCGGTGAGCTAAAAATACTCTGCTTAATAGAATGTTTAACCACAGCCTTACATTAAATATTATGTAACAGATTAGAGAAATTCAACATATCACATATAAATTTTATAATATTCTATTAATTTCATTGTTTTTTTGGATTGCATTATTTTTCTCCATTGAACTAGCTCCTACATCAGCTCCACTGTTTTAGCAGATTTTTAAAAATCTCATAACGTTTTTATACTCTAGAACCTCTGTGTTGTTAAAGAATATAAGTTGACTTATAGAAGTGTTTTTGTATTGCTAGGTTGCTGTCACATTGACATATACCCACATTTCCCTTTATTCATATTGATTACAGGTGGTTTTGTAATGGATGGTATTACATGGCAATAGATTCAGTATATCCTTCTTCAGTAATTTACCAATAGCATTTTTAAAATTTCCAGTGTACAATAAAACCTTCATCTATAGCCATCCTGTTTATAGTAGTTAACAGAAAGACATTCTTTTTTTACACTAAGATTTTAAAACATCATGCATTAAGATTGCCCTGTAGAATTTATGTCAACTAATGAACAATGTACTATCATTAAATGTGTTATATACATTGTACTATTTGTGTCTCTCTGATGTAAACTATGCAGTTTGATTACTACTTACATTGAAGTTATTTTAAAACATTCTCTAAAATCACAGTTATAATAATGTCTCTCTGATAAATTCACTATCACATCCATATTGTCTTTCAAAATATTTAATGAATCTGGTAATTTAAAATCTTTTGGCTTGTTATACTGAAAAAAAAAAACAAATAAATACATCTGTATTACATACTGTGATACATATAACTACATCAATCTATATCAGATAACTTCTCACATTCAAGTTTCTTTTAATAGAATTATTTGTGCTTTTGCTAAAAGCAGATTTTTCTGTAGTTGAAAATTTCATTCCTTGTAGTTTGATATAACATTTTTGTTTCATTTTTGTTTTTTCAACCTTCTATATCAAGCAATGTATTTTTTTTTAAATATCTAGTTATAAGTTACTGTACTATTGAGAAAAACTGTTGATTGGTTACAGTTTTTATGTGTAATTCAAACTCCATAAAAACCAATGTTTTACATCTGTTTCAAGTAATGAATCTCTGCCATTGTTTCTTTCTTTATTAGTCTTTTTTTAAAACAGTTTTAGTCCATTATGGATATATTGATCTCTAGATTGTCTATTTTGTAGCAAATAAGTGTTGTAGGATCTCTACATATTTATTTTGTGGGAAATAAGCATCGTTGGATTTCTAGATGTTTATTTTGTGGTAAATAAGTGTTGTAGGATCTCTAAATATTTGTTGTGTATTAAATAAGTGTTGGAAGGTATCTTGATGTTTATTTTGTGGCAAATAAGTGTTGTTGGATTTTTAGATGTTTAGCTTGTGGTAAATAAGTGTTGCAGGATATCTAGATGTTTAATTTGTGGTAAACAAGTGTTGTAGGATCTGGATGTTTTTTTGTGGTAAATAAGTGTTGGACCTGTCCCTCATTAGAATTTACCCTAGATTTTCTTTTGATAGTGTCTATTTTATACCTTGTTTTTAAATTCATGTTTTTCTTGCATTACAGACAGTGCTGATTTATCAATCCCAATTTCTAATTCTATTATATAAGTAATTCATACGCCTCATCTTTATGTTACCTTTTTTAATCTATTTTCATATAAAAATCTGACAAGTTCTATTTCATCCTCTGGACACTGTGATGATAATGGAAGGGAATCCATTAATTCTCGTTCTACAAAATACAGATTAAATTTTAAATCAATATGAAAGAACCTTAGTGAGCGCGCTCACATACCCCACGTCCCCACATTGTCATTGAAGAAATAAAAAAAAATTGTATCAGAAAAATAAATTGAATCATAATTTCCTGTCAATATGCACATCTACATAGTATGTCCTTATTATCTACACAGTTTCATGAAATTCTGTTGTGTGGTTTGAGAGGAGTTGCGATGACAAAAGGTTGCAGTAGTATATTGGGCAAATAAGTTCAAAGGGGCGTAACTCCTGGAAAAAAAAATGAATCGTAATTTCCTGTCGATATGCACATCTACGTAGTATGTCCTTATTATCTGAAAAGGTTTCATGAAATTCTGTTGTGTGGTTTTAGAGGAGTTGCGATGATAAAAGGTTGCAGTAGTATATTGGGCAAATAAGTTCAAAGGGGTGTAACTCCTGGAAAAAAAATTGAATCGTAATTTCCTGTCGATATGCACATCTACGTAGTATGTCCTTATTATCTGAAAAGGTTTCATGAAATTCTGTTGTGTGGTTTGAGAGGAGTTGCGATGACAAACTGTTGCAGTAGTACATTAAAGTAAATAAGTTCAAAGGGGCGTAACTCCTAGAAAAAGAATTGAATCGTAATTTCCTGTAGATATGCACAACTACATAGTAAACAGGTTTCGTGAAATTCTGTTGTGTGGTTTGAGAGGAGTTGGGATGACAAGAAACAGGACTGACGGACTGATGGACGAACGGACAAACAGACGGACAGACAGACGGACAGACGGGTCAAAAACATTATACCCTCCGCAACTCGTTGCGTGGGGTATAATAACTATATCAAAGTCAGTGAAGGAAAACTTCACACATTTTTCAAACATTATTTTCAATACTATTTGAACAGTTGAAATCTAGCTTAGAGAGAGTTACATTCAATATATCTACTCTTCATCAAGATTTGTGATGCATGTTCTATATCTATGATTTCTAACAGCTAGAGGAAAAAGACAAGTAAAATAAATCAGGTACTTTTATATTCTAAACATTGAAATGTGCAGTCAGGTCAACATGCAAGACTATAGATAAAGTCTCAAACAAGTCTGCCTGGGCATTTTTTTGTTCGTTTCTTGAATCTTCAAAAACTTTCGACTTTATTGTCGGCTTAAAAAAATAAGGGAATATTAGTGAAGGCTTAAGCTACACTGATTATTCAACTGCACTTACAGAATATGATCAATTACATATAAATATTTTACAACAAAACTTTACTTTATAGCAGACTGTTCACCAAAAAAAAAAAAAAAAAATTCATTATTCACACAAGTCATTGATATATTTTGTTATGCTCAGGCAAATAAAATGTATGTGTATTTAGGGTTTCTTGCCATATGGTTGATGGGTGGATTTTTTCTTAATCAAGCCAAAAAATATTTTGTCTTCACAGAATCCAGTTCCAATATTATCATTTTACCAGAAGCTTGACATTTGTAATCTGTTAATAAACAAATTGATGATGATTAATGTTGTTTATAGTGAAATAATCCTCAAAAAAATGTTAGGGTCAATGCTCAAAAATAAGGTCATCATCACTCATGTAGTGATGCTGTTGAACATAAATATAATGAAGTGCTTAAAACAAAGGGTATTCTTTTCTATAACAACCTTCTTGAGCTGTAAGCATATGATGATTGACCAGCAAATCAAATGCCTCAAAACAATATACATCCTGACGTAGAGCCTCTCTGTAACATTCTACAGCTAAATTTCTATTGTCCATAGCTTCGTAAATCTTCCCTCGTAACAGGTTTATTGAATGTTCTGTCTGAAAAAATTACAAAAGATGATTACATTTATAAAGATTAATTCATGTTCATATATGTTAGGTGATTAAAGAAACACAGCAGTAAACTGTATTTGCCAGCATTTTTTCCTTTCGTTGTTGTGATTAAATGTTAAATTTCTAGAAAAAGACAGGTTAATACACTAAGATTGAATTGACAGAAGCTTTATTACAGTGTTAAGCCAATAAAAGAAAACATTAATAAAACAACAAGAGTGCACACACTGACATGCCTCGCCTGCTTTACTGATTTTGATTGAATTATATTTTGATAGTCATTAAAATCAAAGTCTTAATACAGGCATAACATAAACTTAACATTATCAATGATCCACGAAAACAATGTCAGCTTAGATAAAACATAAAACCTGTCAGACAGGCACATAAACCTTACATTCATTCTTTACACCAAATATAATTGACTTATTACTTATAATATCTGAGAAACAGACCTATTCACGAAAACTTAACATTGACCAATGAACAATGATAACGAGGTCAAGGTCAGATGAACCCTGTTAGACAGACATGTAAACCTAACAGCCACTCCATAAACCCAGCATAATTGACCTATTACATAGTATCTGAGAAACACACCTAATCACAAAATCTTAACATTGACCAATGAACCTTAGAATTTAGGCCAAGATCAGATGAATCCTGTCAGATGGACATAAACACCTTACATTCATCCTTTACATCCAATATAGTTTACCTATAACTTATGTTTTCTAAAGAAGGGAACTTATCAAGAAAACCTAACCTTAACCAATGAATTATGAAAATTAGGTCAATGTAAGATGAACCTTGTTAGATGGCCATGCATGATGTACAACCATTCTATACACTCAATACTTTGAAAGTGACTGCTGGTCTAGTTCATAACTAAGTCAACATAACAAAATGTAACTGTACATAAGAATTAAGTAACCTCTTTCATAACCAAGTCAAAATGTGACTCATTAAAACTCTGTGTAAGTTGTCTCATATTGTTGTTTTCTACCAAATCAAGTATGTTTAATGCTTCCTGCCATTCTTTGCACTCATACTGAAATATACAAAAACAGTTATTTCATCACTTATAAAATATCAAATAATATTAAATCTACACAATAACAATTAAATGTACAGAAGCATCATTCATGGGTGCTTAAGACGTGTTTGGTCTGTATGGACTTGTAGAACAAAAATAATTTTGTGTAAGGAACTGGATTTTTTTTTGGGGGGGGGGGGGGGTGATTTGGTGATGATGATTATAAAATATGCCAACAAACTCTGTAACAATGTCATATAAAGGAAACCAAAATGTTGCTCAACTATTAGTCCATCAATTGCTGCTGTGACCTTGACCTGAGTCCTTAAAAATATAATGTGGGCCTTTATCACTCAAAGGGGCATGATCAAATCAAATTTGAAAAAGACAGTATTAATGGCAGAAAATATTTGTCTGAAAATAAAAATATTAAAGTTAACTTATCTTCATCCTAATTTAGTATTAAAAGAGTACACAATGAATAAAGTGATGATGAAATGTTAAACCAAAGTAATTATTTAAAGTATTATAAAAATGTACAAAAATCAGAAACATTCCGTATGTGTTCATATATTATCCCAAAATGGTTCACAATTGGTACAAAAGAAACACAAGTTTTAAAATGAAAGTATTATGATCAATTACATATAAATATTTTACAATAAAAAGTTACTTTATAGCAGACTGTTCACCAAAAAAAAACAAAAACCAAAGTTCATTATTCAAATAAGGTAATGATATATTTTGTTATGCTCAGGCAAATAAAAAATATGTGTAAAAAATAGGGTTTCTTGCCATAGGGTGGGTTATTTGATTTTTTTTCATAAATCAAGCCAAAAAAAATTGTGTTTTCACAGATTTCTTTTCTAATTTTTACCATTTTACCAGAAGTTTGCAATTTGTAATCTGTTAATATACAAATTGATGATGATTAATGTTGTTTATGGTGAAATAATCCTCTAAAAAAGGAGCATAACTCTAGAACGGTACAAGTGATGCCACCAAAATTCAAATTTGATCTGTGTTTTGTGGTAATAAGCATTGTGTATAAGTTTCATAAAATTTTGTTGAGGCAAACTAAAGCTAGAGAACGGAAACGAAAAATTTAGCAATTTTTTTCATTTGTAAAGGGGCATAACTCTAGAACGGTAAAAGTGACGCGACCCAAATTCAAACTTGACCTGTGTTTTGTGTTAATAAGCATTGTGTATAAGTTTCATAACATTTGGTTTAGGCAAACTAAAGTTAGAGAACGGTAACCAATTTTTGGACGTACACACGGACGGACGGACAAGGGTAAAACTTAATGCCCCCTCCGCTACGGCGGGGGCATAAAAATGTTAGGGTCAAAGATCATAACTAGGATCATGTAGTGATGAACATGAGTACAATGAAAGTGCTTAAAACAAATGAGTGTTCTTTTCTATAACAACCTTCTTGAGCTGTAAGCATATGATGATTGGTTCACAATTGGTACAAAAGAAACACAAGTTTTGAAATGAAAGTAAATTTTCTAATCAAATGGGTTTTTATTGCAAAAAAGATGATATTATATACATCAAAGGGACAGAGACTGTATCTAAAGACTACCTGTTTTCATTTCAAGTAAAAAATTCTTGACCTGGGTCTTGAAGTTTAAAAGTTAATGAAAATAGACTTACATGACATAAGGCTGCTAAATGGCGACATGAGGTATTTGTCTGAAACATAGAAAGTCAATTTCAGTAATGTATGTATAAAAAAATTATCTTTAATACTTTAAAGATCTATTCTTGTCATAAACATATCCTATTTCATCCAAATTCACATTAGATATAACCTTTTTTTATATTGTAATTCATGCTACAACTTTTTTGTGAGGCGCTCTCAAAAGCTCATCCAGTTTCATGCCACAAGTCAAACAGAATGGTGATTAAATATGTCTATCATCACCTTAAGGAATGAGGAAACAGTATGTACATGTATACCTTATCTAATTTTTTGTTCCTGAGTAATCTTGAAGCTCTGTGATACTGTCCAGTGAGATATAATGTTTGTGCATACCAGTATATATCATCAACATTGCCTGTAATAAAAACATATTTCAAATGTGAAAATTATAACCTCACAAATGTTTGTGTGACTTTTGACAGGAGGGGTCATTATTAAAAATTAAATTTTGATGTTTAACACATTTTTATTCAATAAAAAAAATACTGATTTTTTTGGGGGGAGAGTCATAACTCAATATTAATTGCTTTACAGTTAAGATAAATGTGGTCGTACATCCTAAACAGTGTTATGGAAATGGAAAGATTTTTACATTGCCAGTGGATGGTAAGCAATCAAAAATCAATCAATCATGCTTTTACTAATAGTATCTTCAACAAAAAAAGTTTCACAAAGAAGTAAATGATGTTTGTTTAATTTAATGATAGACTGTATTGTATTCCACATATACCATGTATACCGGGGGTAATAAATGTTACCATTATGGTAACATTTATTATTTGTGGAATATATTATGTAATGTGTAAATCACTGAACTAGAACATTACATGTTTGAATAAATAATTTGTGATGGTGCCAAAACATGTTCAAATGAAAATTGTTACTGTCAAATATGAGTGTAAAATTAACCAAAATAAAAGCAGGCTCATGACGTTATACATCTATTTCTACTTGACTAAGAAAAACCCATATCACTCGAGTAGTGTGATATGAAAAACTATCACTAAAAAAGATCAAAGCAAAATTTTAGCAAATAACAATAAAACAATGTATTATACATTAATGTACAATGTACATATATAAAATACCGCTGGATTGACAACAACACTTTAGTGAACTGCAAGTTTTATTGCAGTTCACTAAAGTGTTGTTGTCAATCCAGCGGTATTTTATTTATTTATTTTTATTGACAACCCTGCATACCATCGGGTATCCTCTTTAGTGACTCTACCTTCACTTCACCACAAAGGCGTTGGTTCAGCAGCTTTTTATTTTTATTTTATTTTTATAATGTACATATATGTATAGTGAAGGCAGTCAGGGCATCAACACAATTATGAAGACAGTAAAATGTAACCTAATGTAGCATACCGGTAGTCATTATTAAGTATCTGTTATAAATGTTCATTGAATTTTTCCAGAATCCTGTGTTATTTTTCTTTCTTGTCATTTCTAGTGGCATCTTGCTATTTTCACTAATAAAAACCTCTGACTGGCTCTGGAGTATACCAGGCAGAGAAATATTTCAGATTTCAATAAAAAAAACTTGCATGTACAATGGACCTGTAATTTCCTATGTTTCTGATTATGCCTTACCATTTGATAGGGAAACAATCTTGTCAGCCCAAAATAATGCTGAGTCATAATGATGCTGAAAACAGAAATTGCAATCTAGAACTTGACAATAATTAAAACTTTTCCTTCCTAGCAATTATTTTTTATTTGACAACAGAAAACATGTGTCAAGAATGAAAATATGTGCCTTAACAAGATCTAAGTTTTTCTAATGATTGACTATAAGCATTTATACAAACTCCTTTTTTAGACAAAACATTTGTACAACTGGTCAGCATGGTATGTGACCATTGGGGATTACATGTACATTGTATAAAATGTTGTTAGTGCTGTGAACCCAAGGTTTGATCTGATATAGCTTTGAGTTTAATCAAGTGAATTTGAAATTACTGTTTCTCAGTTATTATTTTTACATATATAGGTAACACTACAGGTGTCATTAGTGGAGTAGGAACCGCTTACCATTCTAGTAGTACTTTAGTGATTCTGACACATTGTACATTAAGCATTTAAGATTCATTATAACCTTTTTGCAAAAATGGCCATTTTTACACTACAAAGTTTCTTCTGAGTACAGACCAACCTGCGCACCTAGAAAAGTGTTTAAGCATGGCAGGACCTAGATATATCCCCAGTATATGTAAAAGTTGAATACATTTTGTGTTTCATAAAATCAAAAACTTTCCTGAATTTTTATGTAAAAGATCATACAGGAGCATATCATTCATGTTATTTCTCACAAATTTATAAAAAATACCTGAACGTCAAAAAGTATGATTTCATGTATATTTGTAAAACACTTGTTTAAAATCAAATAACCTTTTGCAGCTCAACAGAGATATCAGGTAGCACCTGACTCATATTAATTGTATTGTAAGAATTGATATTGGCAAAAAAGGACGTTAAGACATCTGCTTACTAACAATGTAACTGAGTGTACAATATCAAATAAATATATAGGGATGAGAAAATGAATCTCAAAATATATATTATATAAATTATAAAGAAACAAAACATAAACATAATACATGTACATTTAAATTTAATATATCTATATATATGTTATGCCTTAAAACTTCACCAGGTTTACTATTTTGTCTGTAATCAGAGTATATTGTGTTATGTAAACAATATAATCTTTAGCCAAAATGGCTTTTTCCACAAATAGTCTGTTGTTTGTTGCTGTATATCATATTTATTTTTCGTTCATTATTTTGTACATAAATCAGGCCGTTAGTTTTCTTATTTGAATTGTTTTACATTTGTCATTTTAGGACCTTTTATAGCTAACTATTTGGTATGGGTTTTACTCATCGTTGAAGGCCATACGGTGACCTATAGTTGTTAATGTCTGTGTCATTTGGTCTCTTGTGGAGAGTTGTCTCAATGGCAATCATACCACATGTACAACTCTATGGAAGATACAAATGTATGCACATTTTCCTTGACAAAAGTTTATAAAAATGTCTAGAAATTCTGGATATCTATCTAACCAAATTTTATTTGACATTAACTGGAACTCAATTTTCTACCACAACAGTCGAGAACAAAGAATTGACTTGAAATCCCAGCATCTTCCACAAGGGGGAGAGTACAGCCTAGATTTCTGGCATAGCTCAATGTTATGATGAACCTTAAAGTTTATCATAAAAACAATGGGTTAAAATAGCTGAGTTTAGATTCAATTACTACACGCAGTATAGACAAACCTGTGCAGTTGGAAAAATTTTAAGGCCTATCATCCACTTAATATTAAAAATTTAATGCATTTTGTGAACAATTTAAAAAAAAAATTTCTTTACCGTTAATTTTTTTTTCATCACTGCAAAAGATGGTTAATCAAATAAACACCTTAACTATATTTGATATTGTCCTATTAATCCCTTTTTGGATTCTGTGTCTGGAGCAATTTTCTGATAAGGCAGCCCTTAGAATTCCTTATCAAAATCTATGTAGTCTAATCTAGAAAATTTTTGCTACAAAGCTCCAGACAACATGGACAAGAACATACAAGTTGGGGTTTTTAAGTCACTCAGTACACTGTTTAATTGGTTTGTAGGTATCAGGTCATTCCAGGCCCATAGTCGATCCGGCCCGAAGTAGATCTGGGCCCATAAAATAATGAATAATTTATATTAATATCGAAGGATTTGGTGACATATTTGGTTCAGGGTAAATGGAATTAGCACAGCTTGTACAGTAGTGTATGTACCTATTTGTCACAACACAGGTTGAAAGACTTAATAAAGATAACAGTCAACTGAAAAAAATTACTACTGATTAATGTTGATGTGTCTGGAGCAATTTTCTGATAAGGCCTCCCTCATAATCCCTTATCAAGATCTATGTAGTCTAATCTGTAAAATTTTTGCTACAAAGCTCCAGACAAGAATATACAAATTGGGGTTTTTAAGTCACTCAGTAAATTGTTTAAATGGTTTGTAGGCCCATAGTCAATCTGGCCCCATAAAATAATGAATAATTTATATTAACATCGAAGGATTTGGTGACATATTTGATTCATGGTAAATGGGATTTGCACGGCTTGTACAGTAGTGTATGTAACTTTTTTTTTGTATCAATAGCGTTTTTCTCTTCATTATTGTATATGTTCAAGATGTATTTTATTTTATTTCTTTATTTGTAATTTTTGTTTCTTCTTTATTGAAAACACAAGTACTGGTGTGACATCCTGCATGAGTGAGCTTAAAATGTAATTAAGGATTAAGTATGGGTGTGTAATGTCAACTTTTGACAGGTGTTCAATATAATAACCCCAGGCAGTGCTCTAAATCAACATGATCAATGAAAAGGAAATATAGGGTTAAAGAGTCATTAAATATTAATTACTGCTTATCAACTTTGAAAATGTTTGAGGTCTAATTTCTTATAGAATATAGCAAAGTGCTCTTGACCAATGAAATTGTAGGATTTGATGTCTCTTAATTGTGAAGAATGAATGTAAATCACGTTCTTATTAAAGGATTATCCTATTATGTGGGTCTATTTACAGTTTAAAACAAAGAGTTTCTATAAATGAGTTACAACTGCCCTGAAGCACAGTTGAAGTTTACTGGTGCAGTAAAATTTGTACCTTTAATGTTATTATGAAAATATCAATAACTTCAAATTACTAAAAAATTAAACAATATCAAAGCAACGCAAACAAAGAAAAAAAGTTTTAAAATAAAAAAATTTTTTAATTCAATAACCTGATGAATTTTTAGATGTTTTGTAGATGTTTATATCGAAACATTTTTATTTTCATAAATAAAAATTCAGGAATTTTTAAATGAAATATTGTTTTAAATTGCATGATTTGATGATTAATTATTATATGTTAATTATGTATGATTACTGTTAATATGGTGTTTACACAACTTAACTTGGTGTTTTTGTTATGTTTTTGAAAATCGTGATTGTTGTTTTAACCAGCTTTGATGTAAATTCGGCATGTAGTTAGCATGTATTTAGATTGGTATGAGTAAAAATATGTAAGGGTTCCGCGGAACCCAGTGTCTCGCCTACTTTTTCTGTTAATCGCAGGCTCAACAAAAATGAGGAAGTAAATAAATAAAAATATTCCTCTTGGTAATATCTTTTGATTGTAAGAAGCTTCTGTCCAAGTTTGGTAAAAATCCAGGATAGTTTATGAATCTAATAAATGTTTAAAAACTTTAACTGCAGACTGAATGTAATGTTAACTGGAAGAAAACAAAACTTCCTTCTAGATACTAGCATTTGATCATAAACAAGCTTATGTCCAAGTTTGGTACAAATCCAAAATAGTATAAGAAAGTTATTAAAATTTTAAAAACTTTAACCACAGACATGACAGAGTGAATATGTTGTTTCCTGGCAGAAAATCTAAGTCCATTTAACAGAAAAATACAAAAAAATGGATTTATTTTTTTTACAAAATTTCCTTCTAGATACTAGCTTTTTATCATAAACAAGCTTCTGTCCAAGTTTGGTACAAATCCAAAATAGTATAAGAAAGTTATTAAAATTTAAAAAACTTTAACCACAGAGTGAATGTAATATTTCCCAGCATAAAAACTAAGTCCATTTATAAGTAAAATACGGAAAAAATGGAATTTTATTTTTACAAAATTTACTTCTGGATACTATCTTATGATCATAAACAAGCTTCTGTCCAAATTTGGTAGAAATCCAGGATAGTTTAAGAAAGTTATTAAAATTTCAAAAACTTTAACCACAGAGTGAATATTTGTGGATGCCGACGCCAACGGAATGTAGGATCGCTATGTCTCGCTTTTTCGACTGAAGTCGAAGGCTCGACAAAAACAATGAAGATTCAAAATGTTATTGTTGTTGAGTTTAATAGCGGTTTAGTATCTTAACTTTAAAAAAATATTCAACACAAAAAACCTTATGAGTAAAAACAATGAAGATTCAAAATGTTATTGTTGTTGAGTTTAATAGCGGTTTAGTATCTTAACTTTAAAAAAATATTCAACACAAAAAACCACCTTTTTAGAAAGTCACTTTATTTTGAAACAATGACAAAAAATATAGCAATACACTTACCAAAACACAATTAAAAAATATTCAACACAAAAAACATCACTTTATTTTGAAACAATGAAAAAAACCTTATTTATAGCAATACAATAACCAAAACACGATTAAAAAGTTATTCAACACAAAAATCGTTTTTAGAAAGTCACTTCATTTTGAAACAATGAACAAAAAAAAATATTTATAGCAATACACTAACCAAAAAACGATTGGTGTGAACATGTAGGGTGCAAACGTAAAAAGGGGCGAACGTGAATGGGAGCGAAGGTGAAAGGTGGCATACGGACCCGGATTCAGAATTTGTATATATGCAAAAATTCTAGCCTTCAATGAATATTTTATGGTTAAATTGGGTCTCAAAGTTGAGAACAAAATTCTCTCTCAAAATCCAACCAAAAAAAATGGCTTCAGCGTTGTGACGTCGCTGTAAGTCGTCAAAGCAAAAAATATAATAGCCTTTCAAGACGTCATAATTATTTGGACTAATTGATGCGATGAACCGTAACATTTATATGGTAAATCACTGCTTATGATGTATATAAAGATTATAACGTATGCAAATGTTCAAAAGTACTTTGTCTATATACTGCTTCACTCTTTCTCTCAGCTTTGGGAGGTTATAGTTGCAAGGTGGGGTTTGCTTTTCTGAAGTTTCAATTTTCACTTCATCACCCGCCATACTTGTTATCTGAATTACTTCCGGTAAAATAATCCAATAAATAGACGTCTTAATAATTCGACGGAAGTTGCAACTTCTAATTTTGGAAGCTTCAAAATAATTGGTCTATATTTTTAGATTTTACATGGAAACGTAAACAATATGGAGGACACTATTTTGTGAAAAAATACAGAATACAGAAAAAAGTCAATAATTGTTAAACCTTTTAGTTTGAACACTGTTAAATTCCAGGTAGCGTACATTTAAATGTGACAGTCGTATTTATGAATACACCCAAACAATTTGTTTTCCAATGAACATTTTTTATTTACGGTTTTAAAAAAGTTAATAGCCTTGAAAATGGTCAATTTTTCGTAGGTTTTATAAAGTACTTTGAAGTAGGTTTTCTGTGAATCCAGGAGTATAAATCTTTATGAAAATTTGCTCAATTTATCCCAAATATGTCTCATTTTAAGAGTAAATGTGCATGATAAACAAAAACTAGAGGAATAGATACACATTCGAGGAGCTATATTGTCCATTTGAGGGTAACACGAATGACCAAATAACACTTGTAATGACTGAATAACACTTGAAATTTTAATATTAGCACATATTGGTGACATTTAAACATTGATTATTAAATAATATTATGTTATAAGTGTATTAACGCGCATGAAACTGCCCTTTAAAAAGAATTACCATCACCGGGTATCTTAGCGGGATACAGGGGCGTTTCTAGGATATTTGAAAGAGGGGCGTAGAATAAAATTTTTTTGACCTTTTTCAAGGACGTATAACTAACAAGGATTCGTGTCTCGCGGTATCTCGTTAAAATATCGCAAATCGTGAGATTTGGATTTACTCACTACTACAATTATGCACGCTTCAAATAAATATTTCCGGCTAGTTACGATAATGTAAACAACTAGAACTCCTACAGTCTCGATCGTCATGACAGAAATTCTCTGTTTTGTTTTTAACTTTTGTTAATTATCTTCGATGTTCAAAAACAAAAGAAACAAATATAAAAAAAATATTTTCTATCAAATATGTCTTACAGGGCCGTTAAAATCGTATAAATTTCAACGTTTTAACATTTTTATTATTGAATAGTAAATGTCTTCTAGAAACAATGATTGATTTGATTAACCCTTATTTAGTTGAGCATTTAACTTTGCATTCCTAATTCCTGTGATGATTTATAATTAATTATAATAAAGAATAAAGTAGTCCTGATTGTATGTTGTTCATTTAATGAGCTTGTGCGGTATCCTTTCTACTTTTTAACCGATTGTAAGTTGTTTATTTAATGAGCTTGTGTGGTTTCCTTTGTACTATTCAATTTAGAAAAGCTATGACCCAAACTACACTAAACGAGTCATTGTCTACTTTCAAAATGACCAAAGCTGATTTGAGAAATATACACGAGTATGTCATAAAAAGAACGAGTTGCAATATCTGCTATTTACTTTTCGATTTGAACTCTATTAACATGTCAGATTTCTTATCTTGGGACACTGATCTTGATCTAGAACTATTGCTAGGGGAATATACAGAATATGACCCAAGTGATAGTGACAGTAGTATAGATTTCGCTGTGCCTAGTCCTAAAAAGAAAAAAAACTGCCAACCCAACGGCAAAGGTGTCAGACATTTTGTATCAATGTCCAGTATGTGACAAGCCACTGAAAACCATCTCAGGCTTTAGAGGGCATACCTCAAAACAGCATGGTCAACAAATTCGGGCCAGTGACTTTCGTGTTACAAAAGGTGTTTCAGCAACACAATCATCAACATCTACTAGTTGTGAATCTTCACAGGTGTCAAAAGATACTTTTAGTAAAACTTTTTATACAGCACTGCCAACATCACTATGTTATATTGCAAATGACCCATTTGTTGTTAATCCACACGAGATTAAAGATTTATGTCATCAACTAGAAAACAATACCTCTGCTAAGGAATGTTTACATCAGGTTATTTACACCATTTTTGAAGAGTCAAACTCTAAACTGACACAAAGCAATGATAGAGAAAACATTTTTCGAAAACTTCATAAGGTTCGTTCGGATGTGTCCTTAAGACAGAAGTTTTTAGACCATTTTCCAACATGTTCAGAGAATGTACTTTCAATATTTTTGCAATTGATTTTTGAAGACATTATTGGTGAAATTATGGCTCAGATGACCAAGGTGCAAAAAGACAAGTCAGAAAAAGAGCAATCACACCTTAGTAGTAATGATCAGTCTATTCTCTTCTATATAGCAGGATATATTGTGTATTCGCTGTGTAAAAGATTTTCTAGGTATAGTGCACATAAACTTGGTGTAATTTCAAACTTTACCATGACATCAGACAGTCAAAATTTTGTTACCCAATATAGCAAATGGTACAATATACAAGATCGTGGTGGTCTCCAAAAGCCATGTGACACTTTGTTTCTGCTAGTACGTGAGATGGAACTTATTGTACGCAAGTCTACTAGCTCAGTCTTAAGTGCAAATTCACTCTTAACTGAACCCTTGATGGAAAATATTATGGAAGGTTTCATGATCAAATACTATTGTAACATTCTAATGGCAAATGAAGAGGGTTCAATTGTTTCAGCTGTAACAGAAGACATTATCCGTTTATTTCTAAGGATACGTGGTTTTGCTGTTACCCGACTTGAGCGTAATAAGACAAGCATATCATCCAAGTCTACCAAAAAGTCATCCTCAAGTTTGAGACAGGCCTTGAAAGACATAACCAAAAACTAATTAGCAGTAGTTAAAAATAAACTGTAAACTGTAGACTGTAGTGCTTTTACATGTATCAGGGAATTTTCTGGATTTTTATTTAAAGTCGTCTCCCCTGATCATTATATTTCAGTGTATTGATGTTCTTGTTATTTAAAGAATCTTCTCAAAGTACATTTCAGTGCTGCTATAAACTGTGTATCCTTGAATTGTTGATTTTGTGCTCATATCTACCTGATTATTTATATTAAAAGAATTAAAGTATTTATGTGGTTTTTTTTATATACAGCTAAGACCATGACTATCAATTGTTGAATTGAGCTATAAGGTGTTTCATCATTGGTAAACAAGTTACTTGTGTATTCTGTATAGAATGAGTATAGATATTGCTTTAGTTGTTGTTGTTGAGAACAGTTGGTCAAATTTGATTTTGTTAATTGTTTGGCAAGTTTGGTCTTTTACAGTAACCTATATACAGTATTGGTTTTGCTCATTGTTGACAGCTATACAGTAACCTTCGAATTCAGTTGTGTACATTTACATCATTTAGTCCGGTAAATTAAGAGTTGTATTCTTGGCAATTACATCACATCTCCTGTTTTTACTTGTAGCAGGTTTAAGACTGTTTTGTGAAAAATATGATTTATATTGTTCATATTCATCCTCCAGAGTCCTGCATGTACATGTGTCAGAAATATATACTAGAAACTTGTCATTTTTGTCACATAAAAGGCAGAAATTGAAACTCAAAATAAAGCAATTTAGATTTAAATCTATTTATCTCAAACACGCAACATATATTACATATATACACACACAAAATTAGTAAATCAAGACATATTTAATAGATATATGTCCAAAGTATATGTACAAATAAAATCATATTATTATTATCCTCGCTAGTACTAATTACATTTTTTGTGTGAACATTTTTTCATTTTGATTAGCTGCTAAAAATAATCCTAAAAATAGCTGTTGAAATGACTTAATAAATATTTCCATTTTAATACGAATCAATTTGTTTTTTACAACCAATTTTACTATAAAAAAATTATTTCTATGAAAAACATGTTTTATAAAAATTGTGTCCAGAAGTAGAACTTTATACAATATGTACACTATACAAGATAAGATAAGATTTATTTTATTAAAGTGTCTAACTTTGAAATTAAAACTATTCATAACTTTTTGAAGTTTGAAAAGAATTGCAATCATGACAAATGTTACTAATGTACAACTAAAGCTTATCTCTTGGGTAACTTTGAATCGTCAATTACAAAACGGTTTTCGTCATTCTCTCGGTGGATATTCCCTCTCTTCGGAGCTAAAGCAACTGCTCCTACTGCACGCATTTGGTTCATCATGTGTCGAACCTCATACACTGTTGGGTTACTGTTGTCACCAACTCTATGACGGTAATGTCCAAACTCCTGTTCAAGAGGATCCTGATTAAAAGAGTGAGTGAGAACAAACTTAGCACCACTGTTTAATAAAAATTTCACACTTGCAACAATCGAATGCACACTTATTTTCAGTCCAGTAATAGTCTGATGACTAAGCAGCATCCCCTTCCGGTCTTTCAAAGTGAAATTTCCTACACGATTCATGACGGCTTGCTCCCATTCACTGAAGTAATTCAGGAAATCCTCTTTTAACCACCTCAGTCTTTCATCATTTGAAGAATTGTAGGGATTCAAATCCGGATTTCGTTTGTTACGACCTTCGTACAGGCTTCGCACATTCAAACAGTCAAAAAACCGGTTCATAACCCTTATAAAGTTCACTGTCTCTGTGACATTGTCTCCATATACATGTATCATTTCCAATGCATTAGCTACAGTTGAACTCAAGACCTGTGCAGCAAAATTCACCTTCATGCACCCAAATGTTGACATGTCGATATGTTTTCTTGTTAATTTGGGACATGGGCTGTATAATGACAGTTCGCAATGCTGTTCGAATAAATTAAGCAAATGAAGCCAAGAAATGTCTTTACCGTCTTTCCACATTTTTCGAGTATTTTTATGAGAGAATGAATTGCAAAAACAGTTGCGTGTGGTTTTAATAAGATGGGGTACGTCCGAAATAAAATATATAACTCTGTTGTCAGATGAGTATGGGTTATCTGCATAGTGTACAAAGTCATTGTCCTCTCCGTGAAGTTTAAAAAATCTCCTGTTTGATGACGCACCGTCGCAAGTAATGAATAAAACCCTTAGGTCAACAAGGCTGGTCTCTAGAATGCGTACTGCCTTCCAAATAATGGGGTACAAAAAATCTGCTGTTATGCTAGTTGTCGGAAAACCGGCCAATGGGAACCGTAGGTCGCAAGTTACACCCCTCACCATTACAACAAGCATGTACTTGGCTATGTCTGAGTGTTCAGTTCCTTTAATACTCTTATCAAGTTCCATCATCTGGTTACCAACTTTGTCTAAATTACAGTATCCTATTAATTCACCACTGTATTTGTCATATACCAATTCTGATTTAACCTGAATTTCATCAAAT